CCCAAAATATTTACGCAGACAACATCATCTATAATAACAAACACAAACAAATATACATGTTTTACGGCTCATGAAAAATATAAAGTATAAACAACCCGATGGAGAAAGAGTTGCCCAAAATGGAAAAAACGATGAAAAAAATATAAATCGGCTCCATTAGGAGTTGTAATCAACCCTAATTATTTATGACAGCAATTTAAAAATTAAAATCTTATGATAGAATGCAGTGTATCTAATTATTATTTATGGGGCAAAAAACTAGGGTTAGTCGAATATATATTATACTAGCAGTTAACCCGCGCTGCGCGCGGGAGGTTTATAATTTTTTTTTCATATTGTGATATTTTATTTATTTTTAATTAATTTTCAAAACATATTATAGTTATTTTCTCTTGAATTATTATCTTTCAATATTTAAATTTGGATTAAAAGCATTTTCTTATTGATCATGTTATAAACTAATATTTCACTTTCAATTTTATTTTTCCCCTTAAAACTTTTATATATACAATTACATAAATGTTGTTTTTATTCTATCATAAATTTAAAATTTACTTACATTCTTAAACTCAGTAACACATTAAAATTTTTAAACTATGATCAATTTAAAATGAAAGCTGAATTATAGTATTACCACTAACTAATAAAAAATGAAAGTATTTCGTATTTAACATTTCATTTATTTACATAATTTATTTTTATTTATATAAATTTTCTATTACTTAAATAAGTAGCATAAATATGCACTAAATGAATGTTTTAAATTTATTTTAATGTAAAAATAATGTGACTTAGGTGGATGCTTAGGTGGCATCATGAGAAGAGAGAAAAAGTTAACTTTATATATATAGATTAGTTGTTGACCCGCGCTGCGCGCGGGAGGTTTATATAACTTTTATTTTATTTTTAGTTATATTATAATTTTTCGTTGTTTTTTTGTTTTGCATTGTTTGTTTTGTTGGCTTTTTACGATTGTTATTTTTTGTTATTCTATTTTTCATATCGATTATTTTTAAATTTTATAGTAATTTAGTATTTGAAATGTTTATCATCATTTGGTATTCGTCAGAGGTCGATGGAAAATTTATGCGGTATTCTCTCTTTTTACTAAGTATGTGATTAGAGAGATAAAGTTTCCAGTGTATGAGTTTGAATATTCTAGGATCTGGCTTGTTTCCCGTTTTTTCGTACGTTTGAATCCGTGTATTCCGGCCAATGATTTTGAAATCGGTATCGTTGTTGCAGATGTGTCGCTCTTGTAAACGATGGTTCTAGAAAATATTTTCCCTGTTCCGTTTAATCATCTAGTTCCAAACTCGTGTATCCCATGTTTTCTGATTTTTTTAACCGGTTTGATTGTTATGTGTTGAACTTCAGACCCATGCTTTTTTAGATTTTATATTTTGATTGTTGGACCTCAATCCCACATTCTTTTGGATTTAGTAAAAAGAAAAATGATGATGTGGTGGATGATGTGGCGCTGATGTGGCGCAAGGAGAAGAGAGGAAAGGTAACTTTATATATATAGATACTAGTCGGTTGCCCGCGCTACGCGCGGGAGTTTATTATATTGTTTATGAGTAATTGGTTCGTATTTTATTTCCTACTTATTTTTTCACTATACCATACTTTACTTTTTTATTACTTAAATTGTGTTTGTATAGAAAAACTATTGAGTTTTAACTTCATTAGTCGTTGAAAAATTAAGTGTGTAAAGTATAAGTCGAAGTGTGTGCGTAAATGGAAGTGCGGTTGAGAATCATTGAGAAATGTGTGCTATTAGGGTTTTTACCAAATATAGATCTAGATGTTAGTATTTTGGCCCCTTTTATATGTTGACATGAAATTTGAACATGATTTGTGGGTTTCGGGCGAATTTTTGTATTTTTAATTGTTTACATTATCTCTTTATATATTGTCATAATTTATTATTTTTTGTTTTACGGTTTCCTTTTTTGGATTTTTCGTACTTTATATCTCGTAATGATCATTTATATACTATTATATATTTTCTGATTTTATGTTTTATATATTTTTTTGTTTTTTCATATGGAACAATTTTTAAATTTAACATATTAGTATAATTTACTTTATATTTAGTTTATTTCATTTAATAATGTTTTATTTTAATTTTCAGTTTTATGAAATATAGTTAATTTTTTATTTTGTTTATTAGTTTAACATATGTGTTGTATTGGAAACAAATAGTTAAATTCATATTGAAAACTTTTAATGAAATATTATTTTTATTTTTACCTTTTTATATGTTTATAAAAAATAAGAATTCATGTCTCGGTCCGACCTATCTCACTTATATTAGAAAATGTTTTGAGACATAAATTAGATAGATTTATATTCTCAAAATTTCTTACTTTTTGTTTTATTCCCATTAAATCCCATTATATTTAGGTTTACATTGTGTAAATATAATCATATATATATTTTAAACATTCACTAAAAACTATAATCTATTATTTATATATTTGTTAGTATACTCGATAACTAGTAAGTTTTTTTAACTCTTAATCAATTATCTTTTTTAGTTTTATAATGTATAATATAAAAAAGACCATTCATATTCATTTTGGAAAAACTTATTTACATAGGTTTAAATATTAAAATTAAATGATTAAATGATATAATTAATTTTAAAAATTAAATAATAAAATGAGGTGGATGATGATGTGGCTTAAGGAGAAGAGAGAAAAACTTAACTTTATATATATAGATACATATTGTATATATTTTGTTAATATTGTTTTTGAAAATAAGAAGATTAACAAAATAAGAATATCAATTTTATATTGTTTTCAAAATTTTATATTTCTCTTTCTATATATATATATATATATATATCCTTTTTATCAATATTTATATATATATAAAAAGTTAGAATTTAAAAATGTTAATTAATAAGATTGAAAAAGTTAACTTGTAAGATGTCTAACTACTATCGGTCGTTTCAAATCCCATGTGGACGACTTTAGGAATGTAACTCCCCAACTGCCACTCTCATCCCATGGGCTCACCTCTCTTAATGAGCCTCACGTTCTCTCATTAGGCCCGTGAGCTCACCAATACCCGACGGTCGGTTTGCTACGTCCAGGAGGCTTAAAGAATTGTTTACCGACCCTACAAATCACCACATGATCTTTCCCTGTGTTTTGGTCTTACTCACACAGTTCCGAAAATCATACCTGAACTACTCCAGCATAAGGACGCTTAACCGTGAATTTCTCCCAGGACCCTGGACCGAAAAAATAAGTGCATTTTGGTGACATAGGTGGCCAAATCCATTCATTTAAACCTCTCCGCAAACCGGGGTTTCAAAATTCTCCCCTACTAACTGACCGCGACGTCCTCGTTGCGCACCAAGACCATCACCCCCTGACGGTGTGAGCCCACTACTCCACACACTTCTAGGTTTGGCTTTGACCGTCACCTCTCCCAGTGGACCCCATGTCCGCGGGCTAGTTCGGCCCGGCCCTCAAAACCATCGGGCTCGGGCTTAAATATATATGTTCAGAAAAAACCAGGCCTTTAGAGCTAAGCCCATTGGGGCTAAAGGGTTTCTTGGACTTAACTCGGCCGGGCTCGGGCCGGCCCGAAAAGCGCTTAAACAAATATATATATATATATATTTTTTAATATTTTAGTTGGATTAGAAGATTCGATTAATGAATTAGTTTTCAGATTTACTTACTAGCCTTACTTAATACTTTTAAAATCTTTATCTATGATAATTTCCAAACTGAACAAAGCTAAAACAAAATATATATAAGTGTCCTGATTTTGAAATCATCAAAATATATTAAATTTTGACTATGTCATCTACTTTACAGTATTTTAGTTCTATGTTTTCTTGGGTTAAAGTGTAAATAATTTATTTGGTTTTCATTTTTTTTCTCTTAAATTAAGTTGGTTTTATTGAATATTGATAAGTTTTCTAAAATGAGATGCAATATTTTTAAATATTGTTTTTGAAAAACTATTATGAACTTAGAAATTGATTTTTTTTTTATCAGTAAGAAAAGCCTAAAAAAGCCATGTAGCCCTGTTATGGCCGGGCCGGGCTTTGAAATATAGGCTCATATATTTTTCGGGTCGGGCTCAAATATATAAGAGCTTTACGGGTTTCGGGCCGGGCTGGGCCGGGCTAGCCCGACTGACATGTCGATGGGATAAGAGGTAGAGATCCAGTGAGAAAGAGCAGTATAAAATGACGATGATGGTAATGTTGGACAATGATGTTGGTGTTGGTGGAGTTAAATCTCTTGTACCCTTTGACCAAAAAAATTATTCAACACTACCTTTTTATGTTCTTAGTACCCTTGGAATTTTCGTTGACCATAATATCACATTTTTACACTTTGATTATTTTATTCACTAAAATAAAAAATTAAAGAAAAATAAAAAATTAGTGGAACCCACCAACATATACATCCATGTTCTTCCTTTTTCCGCTCTCTCTTTTACTCTCTCTCTCTCTCACGAATTTGAAATTCCTCCTAATCAACGCAAACACCATTGAAAAACTATGAAATTAAGTTGTATATTTGTTCTTAGAACTGATCTGGGTCAATTTTTATTTATAAATGCATGGATTTTAACATTTCAATCGAACTAAATCGCAAAAAAATAATGTAAAATAGTGATTTTATGAATGTAGTACAACATAATAGAAATTGGTATAACTAAGATGGGTACAACCAATATTAATGGGTATAACTGGTATGAGTACATATGATACTACATATTAGTACGAATTTGGTACAGGTCTTACTATACACAACATCAATTATAGTTTAGGTGTTTCTTATATTTCATAATACAATGAGTAATATTTATCAGAAATTTATATTTATGATTATGAAGCACATTATTAAAAAGAATAAATTCATTAAAACTTACTCTTTATTAGTTATACAAAAGTAGTTAAGGAATTTGTAATCACTACAAACATCTAATCTAGTGAATAAATATATATGATTGTAATTGCGAAAGTCTTTTAGTCTGTATACATATTTATATTTTGATGTAAAAGATTATGTCACGTAAATTGTTATGTTACCATTAAAACATTGACTTTGGAAAATTGTATCAAACAAAATACAATACCATCCGTCGTTTCTTGACATGCTTGACTTAGTGATTCAGCAAATTTTTCCCACAGTGTACATAACACCCGAGTACTCGTAGTATAGCGAATGATTAATAATTGAAAATAATAGAAATATGTCCTACCAATTATTTTCTTGAATTGGAAATTTAGACTTGAAAATTAGTAAGCTTACTCGTTGTTTCTCAAGTGAAAGTCGATCTTCTTGGTAGGCTTAGTAGAAATAGGGATATCTTGAATCTCACCACAATCATCGAGATGGCCCATAAAGTCTGCAATTTGAAATTTGAGAAAAATTAGGTATAGATGAAGCTAAACATTTATATTAGTTTAAAATTAAAGAAAAACATAACTAACCAAATAAATAACTCTTGTTTTGTTTCCCAGCAAGAACATCAGCGTAACTGGCCAATTAAAGAAGCATGTCATCGTAACTGGACAATTGTTTTCGACATGAAACCAATCATAAACTTTATGTCCGATATTTTCAATGCACCATAAAAAAGGAATTAAACCAAAAATAGAAATAATGATCCAAAAATTTGGGATTAAAAAGTTTTCAAACTTTTGATATGCTTCTTTTTGACGTTAGCAGCAATCTTATGACCCTATGAAAAATTAAAAGCAAAGAAACTTTAAAATCAAACTTAGCAAACTAAATTAATTATTTAAAATATTACGGAAATGTAACTTACAAAATTGTCGACCAAAAACATCTCGAATGTTTCACCAATTTTGGTGGAATACTGCTTCCAAATATGCAAAACCTTCACTTGAATATGCCAATTTACTTTGTAAGGTTTTAGCGCATTAAGAGAAGTGATGGGGAGTGTAGCGGCTAACATCTTTAGATTTTGTTATTTTATTTAATTGTTTAGTTATGATAGGTATAAATATTAGTTTATCGTCATTGAAATTTAGGTTAGGGAAGATTTTGAATCCCTTAAAGATTACCGAATTTGATTTTCGATTATTACGAATAAATTTAAGATTAGAAATAAAATATACCTGCAGTTCAATTGGTAACAGTTTCCATGGTCGGAAGGTTGTTAAAGGGTGAGGACCGGTGTTCGAGGAACGCCAGACGCACCAATAACCTACCTAGTGGGCCAGGAGGCTGCGAGCAGTGGGCTGCGCAGATTGGACCCATAGGAGAGAGGTTAGGGTCAATGCGCTGCAGCGCTTTAAGGTTGCCATGTGGCGGGATGTGCCATGTGGCAGAATCCCACTGGGCGGGTTGTTACACTAAGAGAGATTTTATTACTGGAGAAACAATAGAAAATTCAAAATACAATAGGAGGCTAGGTTAAGGAGAATACTTATAGGGAATACACTAGGAATAAACCCTAGTTAACCTAAACGGGCTGGGCCTAAAGTCATTGGCCCAATTCTATTCAAGTCATATCCAACAATAGCATATGTCCAAATGCTTGGAGCTATATTTGCTCTCCAGTTAATAGTATGTCCTCTTTGTTGTTCTTGAGTACCATGAAGTTTTCTTCCTCATTATTCTCGTCATCATTTCTTTCATCAACGTTAGTTTCTTTGATAACATATTCTTTTGGAAGAAATAAATCGGAACGACTTTCTTTATGCAGATAATTATGTAAGCCAACACAAGCAATAACTAGCTAACTCTACTTGCCTCTTATATGGAAAAGGTGGCGCATATTTGAAGATGAGAAATCTTGACTTGAAAATGCCAAAAATCCTCTATGTTACATTTCACAAGCTAGAACCACGATGGTTGAACAACTCATTTGGATTTTACATGTTCTTTTCCTTGTCCTCGAAATTCTTGGAGATGATAGTGAGTACTTTGAAATGGAGCTAAAAAAATTTGTCGATTGGTGAATCCACAATCAACTAAATAAAATTTTCCTGGAGTTTAAAATGGAGATAAATTGTAAATTAAGAACGTGATAATATAGTTTATACAAATATAAGTGATGCGTACTTTCAGGAACTATCAAGTTTGTTTATGTTTCTTGTTAAAGCATCGTGTTATACCTTTTCATAGTGAGGTGAACTTACTTTCCCACCCGCTAAGAACATATGTAAATTCTAAATCAAAATTACATGCATCTAACACAATTTGCAATAATTGTTCTTTTTCGATTACGGTAGCTAACCGTGTCTTATGGTACCAATAATACTATAAATTAATAATCATATGAAATTATTAATATATATTATCTATATACATGAAACTTATCTAGTGAAATATGACTATTATGTTGTTATTTATTCTTAAAATTAAATTAATTCAGTATTAATAGATTTCATGTATCAAAAATTTACAGTGTTTGATTCAATACATGATGATTTTTTTCTTGTAATTGATTCTAATTTTGATGGGTATATTTTTAAAGATTATCAAATTGGGAAAATCTCTCTATTAATTAATAATTACTAATTTATCAATAAATTAATAGATTTTCACAGTTCTGACATTATCAATTTATAGGGTGGTTTTCTAGTTTTTGATTGGTAAGAAGTTATTTAAAGTCTTAGTTTGTGATATTTAAAAAGTCATTTAAAATCTTAATAAATATGAGGATTTTTAATGAAGAATCTAAGATGGTTAATGAATTTAATTTTTTATGTTATTGGTTTATGATTTTATATGCTTTTCTTCACAAAATAAAGTCATGATAAGTATCATTGAAATAGCTAGAAAGATTGCTTGAGAGACTTTACAAGATTATATAAAAATCTCTAGCAATCTTTTAAAATATTTTCCTGATTCACTTTCTATGGTTTTATTGAAATCATCCAAATTATTTATAAATTAGAACCATAATTATATTATTAGGTATCATAACTTCATCTCCTCCTTCTCATGCATTAAAACTATAGTTTCTTTGGAAGCAGTTAATTTTTAATGATGATGAACAAGAAAATAAACATACCAGATAATCTGCCCGAGGATTTGGTAGTGGAGATACTCTCTAGGGTTCCAGTGGTGTCTTTGTTACGATTAGGAGCTACATCCAAAACATGGAACGTTCTGATCAAAGATGGGAGGGTTGCTAAGAAACATTATGACAATAATGCTCCAAGACGACCAAGGCACTCTCTGATTATCATGTTGATTGCTTTTAGGGTTTATTTGGTGAGCGTCGATCTTCATCAAGTTTACAATAACAAGGTAAAGATAATAAGTCAATTTAGCCTAAAAGATCCGGTTTATAATTGTTTAAAAGAAGTTGATATTCGCAACATCTTTCATTGCGACGGCTTATTGCTATGCACCACCAAATACAATAGACTAGTTGTTTGGAATCCGTGTTTGGGAGAAACTATGTTGATCAAACCAAGTCGTTTCTACGAGGACTCGGATATCTATGCTCTCGGTAAATCCTCATGCAACAAGTACAAGGTCTTGAGGATAAATCACTATGGTTATTATCCTAGCGTGCCACTATTACTTGAATGTGAAATCTATGACTTTACCTCTAATTCGTGGAGAGTTGTTGGCAAGACTAGCAGCTGGTTGATACAAGAGTGGAAGAGCTGTGGTATGTCTGTGAATGGAAACACATATTGGCTTGCTAATCCCTCTAAAGACACAAGTAGGGATTTTTTACTTGGCTTTGATTTTTCGACCGAGAGATTTACAAGCGTCTCTCTTCCGGGTGATCATCGTATGTATGATTATCTTATTGCTTTATCTGTGACTAGAGAAGATCAAAAACTTTGTATGTTAGCAAGACGGGCGAGGAGGCCAACGATTGGTGATTTATGGATTGCAACCAAGATTGACAGTAGTACTGGAGCCGCGTCATGGGCCAAGTTTCTATCGCTCGAGTTGGTTGGCAAGCCTGTTTCCTTTGTTAGTGGGATAAACTTCTTGTTGGACAAGAAGGACAATGTTTTAGTGTGTCGCGGTAAACCTGGAGCCTCCACCTATTTCTTACACGTTGTGGGAGAGGATAATAAGTGTATACAAATGGATCATCATGATCCAAAATCTACATGCTCACTTCTCGTCAATTATGTTCCCAGTTTGGTTCAAATCAACCAAAGTTTATAGTTCTTGCAGTGAGGCAAATGGGAATTAGTAGCTAGAAATCTATGATTCTTACACTAGGGCCGTCTTTGGCATTTTATATCCTAAGTTATGAATTATATATCCATCCAAATCTTAGATATAGATCTGATTGTGAAAGAAATTGGAATATATATGTTATGAATAATTATTAATATTATATGGATGTCCATTATAGACCCATCACGTTAAATGATGTCTAGCCTAAACTCTAATATTGTATCTTATATATATATGTTACATCTTATGGTATAGGATAATAACAAGAGAAAAGTTCCCCAAACCATCTTGTTCTTAATAATATTACACTCTTTTTTCTGTTTGTGTTGGTGAAAAGGCTTTATAAGAGAAAAAAATGTCCACTAGTTTCTTTATGTGACACTTACCTTCCTCGATCGTCAGTTATGTTCCAACTTTGGTTCAAATCCAATAAGGTTCATATAGTTCTTGGAGTAAAGCAAAGGGGCTAGTAGCTAGTAATCTATGATTTTAAGACAAAGTTATGCATTTGATGACAAAAAAAAAAACAAAAAAAGAAAAAAAAAAAAGACAAAGTTATGCATTATCTATCTTAGTATTCTTTAAATCTCTGCGATTGCCAAAACCAGGGATAAGCCTTGCTTTAGTTGTTTTATTGGTTAAAATTTAATAAGTCATTTTTATATATTTTCTGATATAAGTCTCTTAAGCTTAACAAAAAGATTCTTTTTTTTTTTTTGTTCTGGATTACGTTTATTTCGGACTCGAGATAGACCATGGAATTATCAATTACACATAATAATTAAATTAAATTAACCATGATTAAATTATGTATTTCAGGTCTCACAACTTTCATCTCCACCAGCTTGTCTTGCAACCCTATAATTTTTTTGGAAGCAGTAAGTTTTTAAAGATGATGAAGAAGAGAAGAGACATACAAGATGATCTGCCCGAGGATTTGGTAGTGGAGATACTCTCTAGGTTCCAGTGGTGTCTTTGCTACGATTACGAGCTACATCCAAACCATGGAACGTTCTTATCAAAGATGGGACTGTTGCTAAGAAACACTATGATAATAATGCACCTAGATGACCAAGGCACTCTCTGATTATCATGTTGATTGCTTTTAGGGTTTATTTGGTGAGCGTCGATCTTCATCAAGATTACAACAAAAAGGTAAAGATAATAAGTCATTTTAGCCTAAAAGGATCCAATTTATAATTATTTAAAAGAATTTGATATATGCAACATATTTGCGACGGCTTATTGCTATGCACTACCAAATACAATATACTAGTTGTTTGGAATCCGTGTTCGGGAGAAACTAAGTTGATCAAACCAAGTCGTTTCTATAAGTCGGATATGCATGCTCTCGGTAAATTCTCATGCAACAAGTACAAGGGCTGGAGGATAAATCAGGATGGATTTACTAGCCGGTCAATATTACTTGAATGCGAAATATATGACTTTACCTCTAATTCGTGGAGAGTTGTTGGCAAGACTAGCAGCTGGTTTATACGAGACTGGAAGGTATGTGGTATGTCTGTGAATGGAAATACATACTAGCAAGGAGAGGATTGGATTCGTGGCTGGAGGTGTAAAGAGGGTCTTGTCTTTTCAGTTTCTTCTCTGTTCTCGTCCATCCTTCAATCCATATCAAGGTGACGTGACCATGGTTGATCTGGGCTTATAAGACCTTATGATGTGTGTTAGATTGATTTGGGTGGCTGGAATTGTTGTGTTTTGGCTTGTTTGTGTGATGTGGATGTTGTTTGTGTATATTGATGGTTTAGGGTTCAAGTTTGGAGCCTGGAGGTGTTGGAATCGATCTTTGGTGTGAAGAGATGCGATTTTAGGGTTTCTGCGGAGCCAGTGTCGATCGACACCAGAAGGGTGTTGGTCGACACTTGTCGCTCGACACCCATGAGTGTCGCTCGACACCAATTTTTATGGACAGTTTTCTGGACAGCAATTTTTCTGGACAGCGAGTAATCGGTGTCTGTTTATGCCTGGTTTGGATGTTTTGATTGATCTTATGCATGTTTGATGGTCTTATTATGCATGTGTGTATAACCGAGTAGATGGGAGGACCATTTCACTGAGTATTTGTGATAATACTCACGCATCTCATTGTTCTTGTGATGCAGGTAATGATAAAGTGTGATCGTGGAATCAAGGCGAGGAAGAGGGCAATGATCTAGGGTCGCTCGGTGTTTTATTATTTTAGTTATTTGTTTTTGGAACCATGGATTAGACGCGTGCTAGGTCCTGGTTATTGATGTTGGTTTATTTTGGTTATTGGATAATTGTTGGATGATTGATGGCTTAGTAATTTAATTGTTGGTTTGGATTGATTGGTTTGGTTTCCGTTGTGGTTTTCCTGTTGGTTTAATTTGTTGGTTGAATATTAATTATGGGGTTAATACTCATGAATTAAAATGAGAAAACGGGATGTGTCGTTTCATAAATGTCGTTTATAACCTTTTAAAACTTTATAAATATTTGGGTTGAGTCTCTCAGTAGTAATGATGATCTAGATGTACCCTATAAACCATATACAAGTTCATAATTTTTCATATTTGAAAATAGGTATTTTTGAAAATGGATAGAAAATGGGTACACTAAAAGGGGTATTTCTCAAAAATTCTCTATTTTTAATTATTTTTGTTAAAAATAGTACTATTGTGCAGCTAATATTTGTTTATAACCTTTTTATTATCATTAAAATATATAATATTTATACATAACTAGTTAAAAAAATTGCAATAATAGATTTATCATCTTCTTTGTTTCTCATCAAACACCTTATACTTTAAGGCTCACTTTGTTAATGTAAACCACAAAAAAACTACAAAAGCTCGGAAATAATGTTTTAACACATATTATTGCATGTAAGTATTGTTAATGTACCTCAATCAACTACAACTATGGGTACACCTAAATATAATTAGATTTATGTAGTGTATAACTAATTACATGTCAAAAATGGAAACATTACAACTTGCAGACACAGATACAACTTGTAAACTAGGAACAACTTGTTCTATTTGGCGGCTTTACATGTGCAATTTGGCGGCTACACGAGTGAAATTTGGCGGCTACACAGACGCTATTTGGACGGTCCCATGTGGAACACGTGTTTTTTTTTCCAGAGAAGTAAAAAAAAAAAATCAAATTTTCTCCTTTTGTGTGGTTGGGTTGAGCTTAATTGTAACTTAATGCGTGTCTACATAGTTGTACCAAGTTGTACTTTTCAACGTAGTTGTACTTAGCTTAACATCATAATCTTTGTACTTAGCTTAACATCATAATCTTACATAAAAGCCAATTGTACTTAAGTAAAAACCATATACCTAGTCAAACAATACAAAATGACTCATAAACCGACATAAAACCAACTAATACAAAGAGTTCACATAAATTGACTAACAAGCAAGTTTAATCCTTCTTTTTCCTTGTCGTAATATGACTCAGTGATTACATTATTTCACTTACCATTCTTTCTTATACTATTCTTATCTTTATCATGTTGAGCCTCTCGTAAAACTTCTTCTTTTCGTTGTATTTCTTTTCTTTTTTTCTTTTGCCTTCTCAGCTTGTTCATTTTGGCTTGTCTTTTCTCTAGCTACCACATCCACATGAGCTCTTAAGAGGTCCACTGCCTTTGTGATATAATACTTTGCATAAAGCTTGAATTGCTTCGTATACTCGGAGTGATTGAAGTACATATTCAGTGGTTGCATTACTTGTGTTTTCTCCTCGGATTCCTGCAAGACATCTTAGTTATACCAAGTTTTCCCAAGTTGTACCTTTTCAAATTTTTAGTAAAAATAAACTAGTTATACCAAGTTCTCACAAGTTGTACTATTCGATTAATGATTTTCTTTGTAACAAAATTATAAGTTATATCAAGTTGTACATATTGTTGATTCTCCAGAATTTGACTCCGGATTCGACTCTGCTTCTTCTGAATCATCTTTAGTAGTCCCATCTTCTTCTACAATTTCATCTGCTGCTTTTTCGATTTCACATAGTGGATCTGATTTTTTGTTAAAGCTTGCGTTCTTTGTACGCGCCATTCTCTTATCCTTCACACAAAATCAACAACCCCAAGTTAAGATTACCAAATCAACAACACCAAAATCGACGACATTCAATCGGATCTAACATAAAATTGAAAAGAAATCATTGGATTTGACTGACTCAATCTCGGGTTGTCCTTAGTTGTACTTGACCAAAAAAACTGTTCTTGCCTTATGATTTTCGGATTTTTCTAACGTGGAGTTAGGGTTTGGGAGATAACGATGAAAAGAAAAGGATGTGCATTTGATGGGTATCCAAAATTGATTAGGTTTTCGGGTTTGGGTGTGGTTGAATCTGTAATTTTTATGTTTTGGTAAAGATTGATAGGTATTTACACTATTTTCGATTTTTTAAATAAACAAATTATTTCCTTTAATCAAAGTTTAATTAGAATAAGAGAGTGGATTAAAGGGTACAAAAGATTTTAGTCCGGTGTTAGTGGGACATAAGTTTTTTTAAGGTAGTCATTGTTCCAATGCTAGAATATGTAGTGGAGATATTTAGAGAGAGAAAAATGTTGTAAAGAAGAAGAGAACAAAAGGTTAAATGGTAATTTTATTTACCCCTCTTGACAATTTACCGTACCTCATAGTTAGTTTCTTAATTATTTTCAAATTCAGAGTTAGTTAGTATAAATACTCTTATTATTTTTCTTTACACCAAACTATTTCTAAAAGGTGTCAAAATGAAACTTTAGTTAAAAGGTTACGTTATACACTTTTATGCTTAAGACCCAATCCATTAAACTCATAGCCAATCATAAACCTCCACGTGTATAGTCACCTTCTTCGTTTAGTTCCCATTCATATATCTTCTGATTCAGATTAATCCACCAATACCTTCTTCCATAATCTCCCAAATGTCTTCTTCAACCTCCAGGTACTTCTCATTCACAACTCCTTAGATCTCTCAATCATTCATCGATTCAATCAAAGATTCGTTCCATCACTCCATTAGATTCGCGATTTCGAAACTCACAAATCCAAATCCTTTGTGTTAGGTTGTTAAACTAAGTCGAGATTTGGGAGATTTGATTCAGATTAAGGAACGATGATGAATCATTTGGTGATAACACTGTCTCTGTTCTTGAGCTCAGTGTTGTTATTAAACAGAGGAGAAGCAGGAATCACAAGTAGTTTTATTCGATCTGAATGGCCAGCTGTTGATATACCACTAGACCATCATGTTTTCAAAGTACCAAAAGGGTATAATGCTCCACAACAAGTTCGTATAACTCAAGGTGATTATGATGGTAAAGCTGTTATCATCTCTTGGGTTACACCTGATGAGCCTGGTTTTGGTAAAGTTCATTACGGTACGGTTCAAGGGAAGTATGAGTTTACTGCTCATGGGACTTACTCTAACTACACGTTTTATAAATATAAGTCTGGCTTTGTTCATCACTGCCTTGTTTCTGGCCTTGAGGTAAACACACTTTACCAAGATAGGTTTGCTTATTATCAGTTGGTGGCAATGGAACTGTTCATTAGTATGCATTTAGAAAGTGTAATCAATATGAATGTTTTTGTCCTTTGGGAATTATATGATCTTAGTATATATTTGGTGGTTAGATTATTACATCACTGGCCTTGTCCCTGACCTTGAGCTTATTGGGGAACTGATATCAAATATTCATTTTGTGTGGAATAGTGTGAACATAGTTCTATATAATGTTTTTTTTTTTGTCTTTGGACCTTATGTGATTTTAGTATATATTTGATGGTTAGTTTCTGGCCTTGAGGTTAACACTATACCAAGATTAGTTTTCTTATTATTATGTGATCTTAGTATAAATTTGGTGGTTAGATTATTACATCACTTCCTTGTCCCTGACCTTGAGCTTATTGGGGAACTAATATCAAATATTCATTTTATGTGGCATAGTGTGAACATGGTTCTATATAATGCTTTTGTCTTTGGACCTTATGTGATTTTAGTATATATTTGATGGTTAGTTTCTGGTCTTGAGGTAAACACTATACCAAAGATTAGTTTGCTTGTTGTTAGTTGGTGGAATCAGTATCAATGTCTTAGTATAACATCACTGCCTTGTCCCTGACCTTGAGGTAACAATACAAGAAGGTTTTGCTTATTTAGGACCTAAATCTGTGTAATGTTTTTTTTTTGTCTATTGCAATGTTTTTGTCTTTGGACATTATGTGATTTTAGTATATATTTGATGGTTAGATTATAGTGAAATGCAATTTTCTTTGTTTGTTATTAGTTGGGATGATGCTAATTACTGTATTTTTGTTGTCAGTATGATACAAAATACTATTACAAGATTGAAAGTGGTGAAGCTTCTAGGGAGTTTTGGTTTGTTACACCACCACATGTACATCCAGATGCTTCTTACAAGTTTGGTATTATAGGTATGTCACTGTCTTTTTGTTTCTTTTGAAGGTTTACTCTATCTTCTCTCTGGTTGTATATTGATCTAAACACGTCTGTGCTTTGTTCCAAGACTTCGTTCTTTAAGATTCAGTGCAGAGATAACTTGATTTATTGTTTTGACGTACTTGACTTGTTTATCCGGCTCTGTGCTGACCAAACTAAGTTTAACTTACGAATTGTAGGCGATATGGGCCAAACATTCAACTCGTTATCTACATTAGAGCACTATATGCAGAGTGGAGCTCAAGCTGTGTTATTTCTTGGAGATCTTTCTTATGCTGACAGATATCAGTATAATGATGTTGGTGTGAGATGGGACAGCTGGGCTCGTTTTGTGGAGCCTAGTACCGCTTATCAGCCGTGGCTCTGGTCTGCAGGAAATCATGAAGTTGATTACATGCCTTACATGGTAATATCTGAGTCATTACTGACTTACTACCACCAAAGTAACATATAGGTTATCCTTAAAATTAGAAAGCCATGGAACCAACAAAGTTGAATTGTTCCGAAATGTTGTGTTTCTTCCATTTTAACTGTTTCTCAGACATAGATCAATTGTTACAGGTTCTTAAGAAAGTATAGTAAAGCTTAAAAGAGATAAATGAATTGATTACATGAATTTTGATAAGATTAAACATTTAGGAACATGAAGTTTTTGTTATAGCTATTAGTCGTAACTTCTCACTATTCAGATTTGTTCCTCCTGAGAGTTCTCAAACATGTAAATCACTGACAGGGGGAAGTGACACCTTTCAAGAACTACCTTCAACGTTACACTACACCCTACTTAGCCTCAAGAAGTACCAATCCTCTCTGGTATGCTGTTAGGCGTGCGTCCGCTCACATCATTGTCCTCTCCAGCTATTCACCATTTGGTAATATCTCAACTGCTCAATAATATCCATTCTTGTACTGTTACTTAGAAATAAAAAGTTTACACGAATGAGTAACTAAGCATGACTCTTTCTGAATGTTGCGCAGTGAAGTATACCCCACAATGGCACTGGCTTAGTGAAGAGCTTAAAAGAGTTGACAGGGAGAAAACTCCTTGGCTAATTGTTTTGATGCACGTCCCAATTTACAACACTAATGAAGCGCACTTCATGGAGGGTGAAAGCATGCGAGCAGCTTTTGAAAAGTGGTTCGTCGAATACAAAGTTGATGTCATCTTTGCTGGGCATGTTCATGCCTACGAGAGATCGGTACTTGTTTATTACCTTAAAAACTCCCAATAGATTTCGTGCTTATAGTGTTTAGTAAAATCTTTGTTTTGTTTTCATCTCAGTACCGAATATCGAATGTGCGCTATAATGTGTCAAGCGGGGATTGTAACCCAGTTCCAGATAAGTCGGCTCCAGTTTATATCACAGTTGGAGATGGAGGAAATCAAGAAGGCCTGGCGGCAATGTGAGTGACATTAGCATATTTAATAAAAGTGAGGCTTGAAAATCTGATAAGAACGAAGCTAGGAAACTGCTATCCTTATTCCAATGATAATAATGGCATATGCATGGTTATGTGTAGTATTTATATTATTGGGTGATGAGAACAATGTACCCTTTTTGTTACAGGTTTAGGGAACCACAGCCAGATTATTCTGCATTTAGAGAAGCTAGCTACGGCCACTCGACTCTGGATATAAAGAACCGTACACACGCGATATACCACTGGAACCGCAATGATGATGGAAAGAAAGTAGCAACTGATGAATTTGTGTTACACAACCAGTACTGGTAAATTTTCTTATTCTCCCTTTAGTAATCTTAGTAAACTGCATAGATGCAGAACTAAGTGAAAAAACAATACGCAGGGGAAAGAACATTCGACGAAGAAAGCTTAAGAAGCATTATATTAAGAGTGTTGTGGGTGACAGGATTGCCAATTGATTCTCTAAGATGCCCCATGCTCTCTATAACAGTGTGTGTTAAGATTCACCAAATCTTGATTACTTATTATTAAACAAGCTTATAATATTATGTTACTTTTCATTCCCGCTAAGTTTGTTGCCATTCGGAATATGAAGGCCATTGGAATTATGTATTCTTTCAGTCTTTTGAGCTATGACATCTACGTCTGGGATTTTAGATTTGTGAATAATGTGTTGAATCAAGCTTCAAACCTGTGCAAGATGGTGACAACTGAAGTTAGTATGGAATCTATGGTTAAGACTACTTCAATTTCTTAGGATAAAGGTGATGATTTCTCTTTGTTATATGTTAGTGTGTATGTAGTAGATATGTTATGAATTTAGATTCAGTAAGAACAAGTTTCTGTTAAGAAAAACTATTTTCTAATATGGTAACAACGCAAAACACTGGAAGTACAAGCTCTTAAAGCATATAAGATGTGGGTGTTGAAAGTTTTGCATCGCGATAAAACAGCAACCGAGAGAATAACGTTGACAGATGCCTTAAACATTGTAAAGCTAGATTAGTTCCTTGGAAACCATCAAATTGAAAAGAGTGTTCAAGAAAACTTTGTTCCAATGGAAGAAGTGTCTATACATGTTTAATCGAATGTAACAACGTCAAAGAATTGAGGATTCCACTAAATGGACGACCACAATGTGTTTTAACATGGAGATTTGTCTAAAGAAACATACATAGAACTCTCTCAAGGGTTTCAAACATCTGATCCAACTAAATGGGTCAACTTAGGAAGTCTTCATATGGTCTAAGACGAGCACGGAGTTGTTAAATCTCTACGCATATCCGACTCTTGTATGGTGTGGGTTTGTTCAATCTTATGTTTTAGTATGGGACGTGGACCAAAGTATGGGGTGTACACGACTTGGTAATTTATGTAACAATTTGGTGAGTTCTAGGAATCGAATGATAATGATACATTTAAGAAGTTGCTTTCATATGAAGATAAACTACTTCCTAGCTAGGGATCGAGCTTTCTAAGAAGGATATAAGTCTTGTTTAGTTAAAGGTAACACGTCAGAGTCACGGTACACGATCATGTATATGATTTGATACAATTGAGGCTGCCTATGTTGAAGTATCATGTTGAAAGCTGACTGTAATATATTGGTCAGAGCTTATGGTGACACATAATGTTCTGCATGTCTGTGTACATTGTGATCTTGTATGTGTCTTGTACAAATAACAGATGCAAGCAACGGACTGTTATTAAGTTTGGCACAAGATATGATTCAGTAAGTACAGAAAATTTGGCCACAGTCAAACAGCTAACTGTTAGAAGACAATAAAATGGTACTGCATCCAAATCAATACTTAACGACAACACTTTCTCAGTTTATTGATTTATACTCTAAGGAGAGAGAGAGAAAGAAAGAGAGATACTGACAAGATGTTCTTGCGGTTCCAACAAAATCTATGAAGTACAATGCAACCTCTGTACAAATGTAGTGAGCAGAAGCAGGCTGTCGACGATCAATCATCCTTGCAAGTAGCCTTGTTATGTCCTACTCCTCCACACTTTGTACAGCACACGGATCGTCCTCTTTTCCGGTCTTTGATTCTCTTCTCCCCTCCCTGGACTCGGGAAAACAGAGGGGGGAGTACTTCTTCTTCCTCTTCTTTGCTGCTGCCTTCAGCCTCCACCAAAGCTAAGTCAATCGCAACTGCTCCTAGAGCTTGTGAATACGTTAAACGGTAACTCTCAACTGTAAAGAAACTTGAACAATAGTCATATAGGTTTCTTCCTTTTGTGTTTAGGACAGCAATCGCATGCTGGCAAGGGAGGCCTGTGGGCTTCCACCCGTAACAGCTGCAGGTTTGGTTACTGATGTCTACAAGCTGAACAGACCCATCATGAACCTCAAAAAGCGTGTCTGAACAAAAGAAAACTTTTAGGGTGCTTGCTTTCTTGCATTCTTCCACTAGACTTTCCTCCTTAGTTGGCACAAGTTGGCTGAACCACTGTTTTGACTTCTCCTGGCTACCGTTCACCAACTCCACAATTTTATTGACAAACACCACGAGCTTCTGGACGATGGAAGTTTCCTGAATTTCATCAATCCATTTCGAGTATATCTCTCCCACATCTGACGTAATATGACTGTATGGTTCACCTTCAAATAATGCACCGGCCCAGTGCTTTGATTCGATTTGCATCACCCAATCATAAGCTCTAGGAGACACTCGTTTTATTTGCTCGGTGTAAACCTTAAACCCATCAACTCGATCCGCACGTGCTGCAGCTAGTAAATAGTACGACAAGGATGGCTTCCCATCACCAAGAAATGGACCTCTCAGACTTCTCATAAAATCCTCCATCAAGTAATGTATGGAATAACCATGTTGGGCATTCTCAAAAATTTCCAACACAGAACTCTCTAGCCCTTTCTCTCGGTCAGAGACAAAAGTAAGAGCTCGTAGACTGGGCACAGCTATCTTTAACTGTTCCAGAAACCAGCGCCAAGTTTCATCAGTTTCCACATCAACGAGGGCTAATGCCACTGGAAGCACGCCGTCATCTCCATCCAAGGCAGAAGCTATCAACAAAATCTCATGATACCTTGACTTAAATGGAATGGCATCTAGGAAAAGAAGCGGACGGCAACCAGTTTGAAAGCCATGTGTACAAGATTGGAAAGACAGAAAAAGCCGCTGAAATCTTCTGTCCTCACCAACCACCAGATCAACCATACTTCCAGTGTTTGCCTCAACTAGCTTATTAACAAAAAGAGGCAAATGCTTATATGCCTCTTTGAATGATGTATGAAGTCCTCCTTTGGCTTCATCAATGCCTCGTCTTATAGTGCAATAACTGAGTTCAATACCAAAATCTTGAAAAATCGAGTCAGCAATGTTCTTAGTCTTCTGATTTGGGTTCTCCTGCAACCTCTCCTTGATGATACTCACTACCCAGTTCTTCTTTGGATGAGCAGATTTCCAAGATTCTCCCGCGCATGTATGCCTTCTATTAAATTTTTTTATCCTAAACACACTTTCAGATGGTACCCATGATGCATAAATCTTCCAAGGACAACCTCCAACTAAACAAACACCACATGCACGATTTGATTCATTCTTCCTTAACCTGTACCCAAATCGACAAGCAACCGCATATTTCTGCAGAGCATCACGAAATTCAACGACACTTTCGAATCCCTGACCCACACCGGTAATACAACGTTTCCATGAGGCTACCAAGCTTTCTACAGAACCATCGTTAGCATTAGCAATAGAATAATTCGTCTCGCGTTCAGGGTCAAGATCCTCAGTTTCAGGGTAATAGGTCTCAATATCCTGCACATAGTCTTTGTCATCATCAACATCGTCATCATCAGCATCGTTATCATCAACATCGTTATCATCAACATCGTCAGCATCATCACCTTCGTCACTATAGACAAATTCATCATCATCAGTTTCTATTACAGGCTTTCGAATTTCTCCCCTATTTCTTAAGGACCGTCTCCTTGTATCCATGACATTTTCATCCTGAACCAAAATGCTGGGTTCTTCCATCACCCGTCTTCGTTTACTAACGCTTATAGGAGAACCAGTGGTCACACCACACACAACATTTAGAGACATTGGAGGGGAGCTTTTGGTACCAGGATTACTACCTATGAATGATTGTTTCAAACTTTTGGGAGTTAGTTTTGAGATATTGGAAACAAGACTCTTCTTCCCTTTCTTCTTGAAATTTTTCGAGGTTGATTTAGCTGGTACCACTGGATCGGTGGATAACGTTACAGGAATGTCCACAAGACCACTGGATTCAGAGGTAATTCTGGGGGAGACCTTTCTAGATCTAAAATTAACATCAGTGAGGTTGTTTTCTTCAGGAGTTCCTGCGACAACTTGGATGGGTACATTTGCTACATTCCCATATGCCACTGGCGTCATCTCTGTTTCGACCGCTATATCATACGACCTGCAATTTAAAACAAAAATAGATTATGAGACCATGATCACAAGACCAGCAGAACGATATATTAGTACACACATATACATTTAAGATCTTATGTAGACCAGTGTCTAATTCTCCTCCAATTTGGATCAGAAGTGATAAGACAAAAACCTAGACTAGCCCAAATATTGATGAATGACTGCCTTTATAACAGAGCACCAAAATTATCTATAGGAGAATGTTTTAATGAGACATTTTGGTGTTTTGTAGATATCAAAACACAATAACACTGAAAAAATTTTCTTGTTACTGGTATACATCAGTTTTGTAGTTTACTAATGGTTCCAAAAAAAGGAAAAAAAAAACAGTTGAATACGGTTTGATATGTGTCAAAAAACTCTCAAGCATTTCAGAGATGTGAGAAAACTAGCAATCGTTAAAATACTCGGCTCTCAAACAAGAGGGATGATAAATTATCACCTAACAAACGTTATCCCTAAAATGTTGCAAAACTGATGCATCATTAGGTGCCTACTACATTATCTGGCAGATTAAATTAAACTAAAAGAGAAGCTGCAAAATAGATATAGAGAGAGAACAGTTTTACTCACAAAACATGATTACATACAAGGGCATACCTGTTACCGGGTGACGCAACTGCATCAGACTGGAAACCTTCTTGTCCTGTAATAAAAACTTCTGCTGTGACTGAGCTCAGATGGAAATCATACATCCTTTTCATGTCCTTCTCTTGTTTCATGGTGATAAGAGTTCTTCTGTTACCCGGGAGAAAATACTTGAGAGACAAAGTGTTATAATCTAAGTTCAAGAGCTTTGCCAGTTTTAGCTTAAAATCATCAAACGTAGTTTCATGATTAATATCTATCGCTTCTGCCTCTCCCCCGGTATATGTCATTGTCCCATCATCATCAGTCACAAATTTGCCGCCAGATTGACAAATCAAAATAAGCTTACCTTTGCCCATACCCACAGAAGAAGCCTGAGGAACTCAAAACGCAAAGGAAAAAAAAAACAGTTACATCAGATACACAAGCAAACTGTATCAACATAAGTCCTATTGGCTAAATAGAAATGTGTAAGCTGTAGAAAAGTCAGTCTAGCAAGCCTGGACAAGACAAAATGTTGTCAAGCGTGCAAATCTCAACATATAAACAAAAACATGCATCTATCCTTAAGGAACTCAAAACCAATTTGAACTCACTCAACTGAGACTTGATACGTGTACAGAGAGCTAAAAAATAGGATAGCAAATCACAGCAAAAGCCAAATATGACACCAGATTAGCACACTGGCCTGCATCACACACTGAATTAACCCAAGTTAATATATTGCTTGACCTATAAACTCATCAAAATCTCCCCTTTCTAGTAGAGCAAAGAAGGATGAAATGTTTTAAACACTAAGAGACATTTACTAAAGGGTTCAAAGTTCCAGTCTTTGAATAATGAACCAAATTGGTCAGCATCACAAAGTATAAACCTACAGTGTTAAAGTTTCAGTCTTTGAATAGGAATCAGAAACCACCAAAATGGGTCTGCATCATAAACCTAAAGGATTAAAGTTTCAGTCTTTGAATAGGAATCAGAAACCACCAAATTGGGTCTGCATCATAAACCTAAAGGATTAAAGTTTCAGTCTTTGAATAGGAATCAGAAACCACCAAATTGGGTCTGCATCATAAACCTAAAGGGTTAAAGTTTCAGTCTTTGAATAGGAATCAGACACCACCAAATCAGGTCTGAACCACAAAGGATAAAACTTTGATGAAACTAAAGAAGAACAGAACACAAGGAAACCAGTTGAATCGCACAAATTTCAATAATCATAGCATCGATTCATAAACACACAAAGAAACCCCTAGATTCATGTTTTAAACTGGCTAGATAACAAAGGAGGAAGATTTTGGAATCAGCAAATCTAAAGAAGTTCTGTAACGAAATTAAAGGTGAGTGAGAGAATAGTTTTACCAAAATATCAAAAGGGGATCTCGAAGCTCAGGAATTGGGAAGCCTAGGGTTAGGAGAGCGAGAAGTTGAGAATTGTGGGGAAGAAACGAGAGAATGAAACGAATTAGGGTTGGGTCTGTAGTGAAATAAAACAAAGAAAATGTCCACTTTATTGAATAAAATAGTTTCTAGGGGTTGCTTTGAAAATCCTCCAGGTCGTGTATTTGCAATTCTTAAATACCATGATATACCGAGAGAATAATAAAACAGGTTTTATTATCTCAATTAGAGGATAAGAAAGTTTAATGCATTGAATTTAACGATTCTTTACCGACTAAATAAAGGGAAAATTCCATAAAATTTTTCCATCTAATTTTAATTTGCAAGTTTAATACTCAATGTTATTTGATTTGAAACAAAATGCATAGTTTATTAAATTTTGGTCTATTAATACATTAAGTATATAAAAATTGTCGAATCGAATAAATCGCTTAATCGGATTGACGGAATCGTTAAACCGAAGTTGACGAAATCACTAATCACTAAACACACGAGTAATTTGGGGTTATCCAAAGACTGCATTGTCCTTTGCTATTACCCCAAATCGAATTGGGATCGATAAACCCTAAGTTTAGTGTAATCCCATTAACCCCGATTTAGTGATTCCGTCAATCCGAGTATCGTTTGTTAAGCGGTTCTTTCGATTCCACAATTTTTATATACTTGATGTATTAATCGACAACAAATTAATAAATCATGCATTTTGTTTCCAATCAAACCCAAACTTCCAAATTAAAATTAGATGGGGAATTTTTGTGGAATTTTCCCACTAAATAAATGTTGAAGAATGGTAAACTAATCTACTAGGTGAACCATGGACTGAACTTTTTATTTAACATAAATTTATAATACTTTATTTGTATTATTTAATTGAAAATTTATGTACCTTGTATGTGTGTTTTTATATCCAATCAAACAATATATTTGTTTGATTATTTCACGATTTTATTTATATTTTATAAATTATCTTGCGATCTTATATATTTAGTTTGTTTGAATTTTTATTTAATTATCTTTACTACTCCAGTGTTTTTTTTTTCATTTTTAACTTTTTCTAATGACATTTCAATGTAATAATTTTTTTTTTTACATATGTTGCAATAAGAAATGTTTAAAGTGTATATACAACGTGCCACATCGTGTATGAAATTTTAGATAATGATTGAAAACAATTATTTTTTTTACGGAATAGGGCTTTTTATTAATAATGACCCTTAATGGGCTGGACTTTAGCATACAAAACTTAATCAAGACAAAGGAAAACAGAGAAAATTTCGTCACCGGAAAGGAGCCTCTGACCGTATTGACACCGCGGGCAGAGAGTCTGTTCCTTAGAACCGGCAGATGCGAAATCCACAGCTTTGTGGCAGATTGAGGTATGTAGAAAACAGTGTGAAACATCTGATCCCCAGACCCGTTCCTGTTCCCTCGACCAACTGAACCCGCCACAGATTTCCCAGTAAGATCAATTCTCTCACACCACGGCACGTCGTTGCCTGCTCCTGACCTAGCAAGCAAACAACTTCAGGCCTAACCCCTCCTTCCCAGATCTAGAGAAACTCCACTTACCATACTAGCATCCTTCAACCGGCTAGAAAGAAGCAGATGTCGGCGGCATCTGAAACCAAAGGCTCAATCAGGACCCCAAACAACATAGAAACCAAGATGACCAGATAGATCCAGAAGGATCCACCGTTAACTTCTTTGGCGTATTAGCAAACCCCACCTACTCCTCCGACGACTTCCGATGTAGATGCTCAGATGACCCGCCGGCTGAGCCTCGAGAGACAACTGCTACAACCCTACTAGCGTCTTCAAACTAGAGGAAAACCGTAGCTAAACTCTCCTACCGACAGGCCAAAATTGCCTCTACTTCAAAGAAGGAGATACCCAAACCTCAACTGACGGAGAAGAGAGTTGGAACATCTCATAATCACTAAGCAAAACTAAAGGAAATAAAACCAGAGGCCACTAGAAAAGCTTAGATCTAGATCTGTTTTTCTTCAGGGAAGAGAGAGTAATTAGAACGATTGTCCTCATCTGATTGAAGACAATTATAAATAAGACTAATATCTTCCAACTACATTATGAAAATGAAGCTTGATTTCTCAAATATCCGAATTTCAAAGTTTTATTCCGTTTTTTTATCTGAGCACATCAAAACCTTAAAAAACGTTCAAAATATTTTAATATTTAATATTTTGATTTTTATTTGTGTCTCTCCGCACACATCAGTATTATTGGATGATATATACTCGTGATTTGTAAATGATTATCAGTTGTTATACAAAATATTTATAAAAGAAATTATTACAATTTTTTTATAGAAATAATATTTAAACACGAGTTATATGACGGGTTGTGTGACAGGTGTATGTTGGGAAGAGTTTGAATCTTATAATTCAAAACGAGTTAAAACTTCATTATACTATTTTTTAATAACAACAATATAAGACATGTCGAATCAAATTGATTTAGTTGAGTTTGATAGTATGTAGTTTTTATAATAAAAAAATAAATTATAGCATAATAGAAAAAATTTAAAATTTAAAAAATAAAAAATACAAGGTTTGTCCCTCGGTGTATCGTGGGTTAAAATCTAGTTTGATATATATAAATACATACTTAGGAAAAACAAATTATGAAGACATAAACTTAGATTTTAGATAGGGTTTATTACACAATGACACACTTTGGAAACTATATATTTCACATAACACTTTTACCAAGGAGTATGTACTTTGGCCACTGTTTAGGCAAAAAGAAGACTTATTTAGTCCCATAAAATGAACACTTTTGATCTGCCTATTCTAATTCTCTTTAGGAAACCAAGCTCACATATGGGAGAAAGACCTTGCTTCGAATGTAAGAAAACTTTCCTCAAAAAGTTATTCTCTAACACAAGAAACCCTAGGTTGAGGAATCAGATTTCAGAATTCACTCAACGGAACAACGAAAGTTTTAGTAAAGCCTTTGAAAGATTTAAAAGGTACCAAATGCAATGCCCTCACCTTGGTTTTAACAAGTAGTGCATCCTTAAATCCGCATATATTTGGATACCGCAAGCAATGGGAACTTCTTGAGTAAGGATGTGGACGAAGGCATGACCTTAGTGGAGAATCTTGCTCAAAGAAATGGAATCTAGGGTGAAGAATATAACCGTACATTAAGAGATATAAAAGACTTGAGTGAGCAACATCACAAAGAGATCAAAGCTCTCAATGATAAAATGGACAAGATGATTCTTGCGAATCAAAAACCGGTCCACTTTGTTTCCGAAACCGATGTTTATGAGAGCTATCAAGAGAATGTTGAAGGTTGTGCAGAAGGAAGTGATGAAGTAAACTACATTAGTGGTCAAGGCTACAAGAAGTTCAACCCCAACTACAATAACCACCCAAACCTTTCGAAGCAATTATATTGCAAACCCCCACGACCAAAAGTACCCACCCACTAAGCCACCCTGTTTCCAACAACCTACCTATCCACCTAACCTTCAAAACAATACCAACATAAACCTCAATTCAACCAATCCTACTAACCTCAAGCCAAAACTTCGAACCCTCAACCTCAAAGAGATAATACTAATGGTCTCTTTAAGGAAATACTAGAAGGACAAGGAAGAGGTGTCATTGAGCTAGTTACACAAATGAAGTCTTTGCACAAAAATATAGATAACTTATATGGAGAGCTCAATGCCAAGATTGAAAGGTTAAATTCTCTGGTGAATAACCAATCTTCTTCATCTTCAATGAGACCAACGGATACATTACCCGGTAAACCCAAGCCTAACCCAAAGAGTACATGAATGCTATCACACTTAGGAGTGGCAAGAATCTACCAAGTGAAGATCTCAATAGGGACAGTGAGAATCAATAAGGGGAGGTGGTAGCCAAAAATGATGAAGAAGAGGTATTGAATGAGAATGACCACAATGGAAAGTAAAGATAATGAAGAAGAGGTAGTTATTGAGAAAGTTGTTAAGGACAAGGGAAATGGTAAAATGGTTGAAGAACCAAAGAAGACAAGATCGATGTGGAACCTTCAACAATGACCAAGCTTACTAAGAAGAAGAAGATTACTTTCGTTACTCCACCATATGAACTTAAACTTCCATTTCTGGGGCGTTTGAAGAAGCAACAAGAGGCCAAGTACGAAACTTTGTCTGATGAGCAAATGAAGAAGGTGACTATAACCATGCCCATCTTTTATGCCTTCTTGTTGAATCCCTCGTAAAACAAGTTTCTTAAAGATTAGGTAAAGAAGTCTTGACATTTGACATCAATAAGGTCATGAGGAAGCCAACCATTGAAGGACAAGTGTTCTATATTGAAGATATGAACGCTCTAGCGGATGAGCTATTAGAAGAGTTGGCAATAGAGGATGCTCTTCAAAGCACTTTGGGTGTTAAGCAAGGCGAATTTGGATTGCTTGAGAGTGATAGTGAAAGATATGAGAAGGCTCTTGACTCACATAAGCCTTCAAATGGTGAAGCAACGTTCCTTGAGTTGATTCAAAGCCATGAAATGAGTGTTGTGGAGATTGAGAATGTGATTAACCAAGAAGGAGCTATCAAGGATGAGGCTAGCATTGATGGGGACTAGAGTGAACTCAAACCACTTCCCACCGGGCTAAAGTACGCATTTCTTGGAACCAACTCTACCTACCCGGTGATCAATAATGAAAAACTTAGTGAATTAGAAACCTCTGCCGTTCTAGGAGAATTAAAGATATATAGAAAGGCTATAGGTTATTCACTTGATATTAAAGGAATTTTGGAATCACTTTGCATGCATAGAATTCATCTTGAAAATGAATCAATGACTTCCATTAAACACCAATGGCGGTTAAACCCAAACCTTAGAGATGTGGTGAAAAAAGAGATTCTTAAGCTTCTTGAAGCGGGAATCATATATCCGATCTCAGATAGTACATGGGTAACCCAAATGCATGTGGTTCCTAAGAAGGGCAGAGTCATTGTTGTTAAAAATGATAAAGATGAGTTAGTCCCGACTAGAACTATAACCGGACATAGAATGTGTATTAATTATAGGAAGTTAAATGCGGCATCTAAAATTGATATATCATTTCCCTTTACCTTTTATTGATCAAATTCTATAAACACTTACGAATCATACTCATTATTGCTTCCTTGATGAAAATTCTGGTTTCTTTCAAATCCTAATTCACTTTAATGACCAAGAAAAGACGACATTTACATGCCTTTATAGCACCTTTACTTATTGAAGGATTCCATTTGGGCTATGTACTGCACTGCCACATTTCAAAAGTGTGTATGATGTCGGTTTTTTCAGATTTGATTGAGAATGTGGTTGAAGTGTTTATGGATGATTTCTCCATCTATGGAGACTCTTTTCTTCTTGTCTTACCAAAAACAAAATCGAACATCTACTTGCGCCTACTTAAGATTCATAAAACTGAATGATACATGTTTCAACATTTATATACCATATTGTCATTTGTTGTTTTTTTTGCTCATTTGTTGGTTCTGGGCGGTTTTCCATCTTTGCCTTCTGTTTTCCTACAACCTAACATAATAGCATCTACAAAGTGAGAAACAAAACCTGTAATACAAACCTATTTTTAAATCACTAATGCATACCTCTATTTTTTCATTAACCTCTTTGTCTAAGTTTTCTTCTATTTCTTCATCTTTGCTTATCAAATCATAATTCGATCTACTTTTGGGGATGGAATTCAAGTAGATGACAAGACCAACCCAATGATTACTCTCCCAACGCATGGGGTAGTAGATGGTGTCCACATCTTTACCCCTAGATTTTTTTTTAGTTACTGTATCTCCAAGCAAGAATACAGTCAGGAATCTAGGCCATATGAATAATGATTGTAAATACTGGGACTGGAACTCAAAATATTCATCAGCGAGTAGGGAGGGGAACCAATGATTATTCACTGAGGTGTGTTTCTTGTTGTCAGGGGAAGACATCATTTTCCATTGCATGGCTGCTAGAACTTTCATTCCTGTTGAAAATATAAGTCCATGTAATTAATCAATTGTAATACATAAATACAGACAACATGAAGTGCCACTATACATACTTCTCCTTTTATCAGTTGGTGCGGCTCTGTAAGTTGAGAAAAAAATCGTTTGATACATCAAATCCCACATGTTAGAGAAAATAACATGTAATAATTATTTAATTATAAATAAATGAGGAATCTGTCAGATACACTACAACTTGATAGAAATGGAGGTGAAACATATACACAAATGGATAACATTTGATATTGTCCCATAATTCTTTTGAAGAAAGCATCGGCAGAGGACGACAAAAAAAAAAAAAGCATCGGCAGAGTGTTCCTCACTTTTTGTCTTACGCTTTTTTTTAATCTTCTTGAAAGAACAAAAACAAAATCGAACATGTACTTGCGCCTACTTAAGATTCATAAAACTGAATGATACATGCTTCATAATTTATATATCATATTATCATTTGTTGTATTTTTTGCTCGTTTCTTGGTTGTATGTGGTTTTTCATCTTTGACTTCTGTTTTCTTACAACCTAACAATGAGAAACAAAATCAGTAATACAAACCTATTTTTGGGGAACTAATGCATACCACTAATTTTTCATTAACCTCTATGTCTAAAAATTTTTCTCCTTCTTCATCTTTGCTTCTCAAATAATAATTCACTCTAATTTTGGGTTGGAATTTAGGTAGATGACAAGACAACCCTAGTGATGACTCTGCCAACACAAGGGGTATTAGATGGTGTCCACATCTGTACCTCAAGCTTTGTTTTCAGTTACTATATCTCCAAGCAAAAAAACAGGCAGGAATTTATGCCACATGAATGACGATTGTGAATACTGGGAATAGAACTTAAAATATTCATCAGCGAGTAGGGAGGAGAAGCAATGATCAATCACGGAGATGCGTTTCTTAGTGCTGAGGAAGACATAATTTTCCATTGTATGGCTGCTAGAACTTCCATGTCCTGTTGAAAATACAAGTGCATGTAATTAATCAATTGTAATACATAAATACAGACAACATGAAGTGCCACTATATATACTTCGCCTTTTAGCAGTTGGTGCGACTCTGCAAGTTGAGAAAAAATATTTGTTTGATAAAACAACTCACACATGTTAGTTAAAATAACTTGTAATAATTATTTAATTATAAATGAATGAGAAAAATGTCAGATCACTACAACTAGATAGAAACTGAGTTGAAACACATACTCAAATGGATAACACTAGACATTGTCCGTAATCCTTTTGAAGGAAGCATCAGTAGAGTGTTGCTCATTTTTTGTCTTACACTTTTTTGAATCTTCCTGAAATAACAAAAACAAAATCAAAAATCTACTTGCACCCACTTATGATTCATAAAATTGAATGATTCATGTTTCAACATTTATATACCATATTGTCATTTGTTGTCTTTTTTGCTCGTTTCTTGGTTGTGTGCGGTTTTTCATCTTTGACTTCTGTTTTGTTACAACCTAACAGTGAGAAACAAAATCTGTAATACAAACCTATTTTTAAATCACTAATGCATACCTCTATTTTTTCATTAACTTCTTTGCTAAGTTTTTTTTCTCCTTCTTGATCTTTGCTTATCCAATCCTAATTCACTCTAATTTTTGGTTGGAATTCAGGTAGATGACAAGACCAACCCAATGATTTTTCTCCAAACACATGGGGGTAGTGGATGGTGTCCACATGTTTACCCCAAGCTTTGGTTTCAGTTACTATATCTCCAAGCAAAAACACATGTAGAATTTATGCCACATGAATCACGATTGTGAATACTGGGACTGGAACTCAAAATATTCATCAGCGAGTAGGGAGGAGAACCAATGATCAATCTCAGAGATGCTTTTTTTGTTGTATGAGGAAGACATCATTTTCCATAGCATGGTTGCTAGAACTTCCTTGTCCTGTTGAAAATATAAGTGCATGTAATTAATCAATTGTAAGGCTAACTTTATCGGAATAACCCAACGGGCCTTGGAGCATTTTAATAAGCCTTTAAAATGAGAACAGTGAAATATTAAGGGGCAACCGAATGCTCCACATGACTCTTTCTCAGCCGTGTCTTAGGCCACGTGTTTCGTCTTGATAGGTTGATTATTTTGTAAAGCAAACGTTTTTTTATCTTTTGTCCAAAAAAGAAAATCCCCAAATCGCATCATCTCTCTCTCATGTTCTCGAACCCTAGAAAGCGAAATCGAAAATTTTCACCCTTTGATCTCCTCTTCTTCCCCGATCAAAGTCTCACCGAAGGAGGACCGTCAACTCTGACCTTCTTCTTCTTCCCCGCTGTCTCGTGGTGACGGTGTTGTCGAAGGCGTCTTCTCCTCCCCCTCCGTCGCCTGCTCACCATATTCTGGATCGGAATCGTTCCTCCTTCAGCGTGTGGTCCGTGGTGTGTCTCCTTCCCCAAATCGAGGGAAAGATAAGGTAAATGGATGTCTCTTCTGTTCCTTCTTATTCTTTTGTGAAGTTGGTTCTCTGTTTGGTTATATGGCGAAGGATAATTAGGTTTATCGAGTTCTTGTAATGAATTGGGTTTGATCCTTTCGTTATTTGTCTAAACTAGAGTCATTAGTTCATATGTGTTCTTCTGGGGCGATATTTAGTAGTACCGTTTAATGTATAGGGATGGAATTACAACTGATCTGTTCTAGGGTTAAGGTCTGATGTTTCGAAAGAGGATTTTTATGTGTGGTTGGTTAGAATTTTTGTTTGGGAGTCGTATCTGCTGCATGTGTATTTCTGTTTCGAAAGAGGATTTGTATGTGTGGTTAATGCTTTCATTATACTGTAAATATGATGAATGAACTTAACTCTTCTTTTCAACTTTTTGCTGAGGATTGAAGTTGAGTCTGACCTTGCTAATCTCATTCTTATATTCATCAGCAAGAGGATCTCCAAATTTAGAGGTTAGTCCATCTCTTAATACTTTATGCAATATATGTTACTGAATGAGAGTTTGTTCGTGTATGTGCTAGTCATGGTGTATTGGTTAGTAATTGTTTATTGTTTAGTAATTGTGTATTGAACCAGTGACTAGTGACTGTGTTTTCAAACTGTGATTCTCTATTGAACCAAAAATTAGAAAATGAAAAAGTCATTCTATATTGAACCTGTCATTGTGTTTTGAACCTGTCATTCTCTATTGAAGCTGTCATTGTGTATTGAAAATGTCATTGTTGATCAAGGCAAAACTGTGTTAATAACCCTGTGTTTGAATGCTAGTTTGTTGGTGTATTGGTTAGTGAAGGTGTATTGGTTAGTCATGGTGTACTGGTTAGTTATTGTTTATTGTTTAGTCATAGTGTATTAAACCAATGAATGTGTATTGAAACTGTCATTCTTTATTGAACCAAAAATAACAAAATGAACCTGTCATTATCTATTGAACCTGTCATTATGTATTGAACCCGTCATTCTCTATTGAAAATTTCAATGTTGATAAAGGCAAAACTGTGTTCACTACCCTATGTTTGAAAAACACATGCTGTATGTAAAAAACATTAAGTGTTGTAACTCTGTCTACTACCTTTTATAATGTTATTGAATGCTAGTTTGTTGGTGTATTGAACCTGTCCTTCTGTATAAAGTCTTCTACTGTCTGTTACTTACCTTGTCTAAGTTCATTTAATACAGTTTAAATTAATCCTTTTAGCTTTATTGTTTTAGTCCTTTCTTAATGGAATGTAACTGAATCCGTTTACATTCTCCTACTTTTAATCTTTGATCTTGTTACAATAAGATTAATATTTACTTCAACTTTTGAGAACTATATACCCTGTATACTTAATAAGAAAACTATTCTGTTTTTGAGAGTTCATTGTGATTTGATTGAAGTAGGTGAGTCATTTGCTTTGTAATAACTCTTTATGTGCTGTTATCAATTATCGTATTTCATCTCCCTTTTCCCTTTGCTTGATGATCCTCTCTCTTCTTTCCCTTCTATCATCTCTCTGGTCTTTCCATTCTATAATGTCTCTCTTCTTTCCCTTCTATCATCTCTCTGGTCTGCACCTTCTATAATGTCTCTTTTCTTTCCCTTATATCATCTCTCTGGTCTGAACCTTCTTTAATGTCTCTCTTCTTTCCCTTCTATCATCTCTCTGGTCTGAACCTTCTTTCATATCTCTGGTAGCATCTTTTTCCCTTCTGTTCTGGTTCTGGATCTTGTAGCATATCTCTTCTACTATCTCTGTCTTAGCATATCTGTTCTAGCATCGTATGGATTCAAATAATAATCCATATGGTGGTGGTCCCGGTTACTTTAGCCTTAATAACTTTCCTTATGATAGCTTTTCCCAAAATCTCAACTTTGGATCTCCACAAAGCAGCCAAACCCCTTCTTTTAACCACCAACAGACTCAAGCTCCACCCTCTCAAGGCAGCCAGATACCTGGTATGAGCCAACAACAGAGTCATGAAGGACCATCTCAAGGCAACCATAACCCTTCTTATAGCCACCATCAGAGTCAACCTCTTAGTCAATCTCAAGGCACACCAACTTGTACTAGGGAGAGAAGGCAATGGACCAACATTGATGATCTTGTTTTGATTAGCGGATGGTTAAACACATCCAAGGATGTGATTGTTGGGAACGATCAAAGGTCAGGGACCTTCTGGAAAAGAATATCAGATTACTATGGTGCCAGTAATCATGTTGTGAATGGAGGAGAAGCCAGGCTGCCTGACCTTTGCAAACAAAGATAGGGAAGAATCAGTAAAGAGGTGTCTCATTTCTGTGGAGCATGTGCTTCTGCAGAGGGTGAGAAAGCATCCGGACAGAGTGATGTTGATGTTTTGAAGAATGCACATCAAATTTACATGACTCTTTATGGGAAGAAGCTCAACTCTTCTAAGTTGCTTTTTAAGTTGTAATGAATCCTGTCTGTTTACCTATGAATTCACAAGTCTATGTAGTGTCATTTGTGTGTGTTCTATTACTATGTGTGTGCTCTCTCTAACTATGAAGTTGTCGTTGTTGTGTATTACATGTCTCATTTCTGTTTATGACTGAGATAGTTTGTGACAATGTATGAATCCGGTTTAATGATGAATGGTGCTAGTTTGTTATAATTGTCTCATTTCTGTTTCATTGTATACATGTATCATTCAAAAGCTAGTTCACATGCATCATTGATATGTGAATGTCTCATATCTGTGATACTTGTATCATGTCTGTTTCTGAATCTTGTTTTAGTATAATTAAAGTGATATAGTAAGTTTCTTAATCTTGTATTACCTTATCTGTTTCTTAATCTCGTTTTAGCTTGTCAGTTTCTTAATCTTGTTTAAGCTTCTCTGTTTCTTAATCTTGTTTAAGCTTGTCTGTTTCACTTGTGTCTAGTTCACATGCATCATTGATGTGTAAATTGTTGTGTATACATGTATCATTGTGTAAGTTCTGTGACTGATTCATACTTTAGCCGTAGTATAGATGTATAATTCCTGTGGCTGGTTTGTATCATTTTGTTATGTTAATGTTAATAGTCTGATCTCTGTGATAATAGTCTGATCTGTGTGATATTTGTCTCAGTTTCTTAATCTTATCTCGATGATACTTGTGTTAGTTTCAGATTAATATTGTTGCATTTTTGTTGAATGAGAACTAGTGACTTGTCTCATATCTGTGATACTTGTATCATGTCTGTAATAGTATAATCAAAGTGATATAATCAGTTTCTTAATCTTGTTTACGCTTGTATGTCTGTATTGTCTGGAACTATCTGTGTTTTTGTTTGTTTTCAGGTTATCAATGGGGTACGACTACAGCTACTCACAGGATTCAGAGAGTAATCACTACACAGAAGACAGTGTAGAAAGGGAGACAGCCGCTTACATTTTGATGGATGAAGCTCAGAGTGCATTTAACTCAGCCCGCAGGCATGAAGAGGAGATTGAGCTAGGCTTCCCCAACAGATGTTATTGTGGGGGGGGGGGGGGGGAGGCCTCTACTTAAGACATCTTACACCCGAAATGATCCGGGTAGAAAGTAAGTAGAGGTTCTTGTAAAATCAATCCATTTACTTATTAATTCTGAGGCAGAGTGATAAATGTTTGGTTTAATGTTTTCCAGGTACTTCACTTGCGAGAATGTGGATGATGGAGATTGTCATCTGCATAAATGGTGGGATGTGGTAGTGACAGAAGAGATGGGAGAAAGGGCCAGAGTAGTAGCAGTAGAGTTTGAAGGGATTAGACAACAAAAGAGTATAAATGAAGAGAAGGTTGTAAACCTTCAGAAGCTAATTGAAGAAATTGGTGATGAGTTGCAGAGGAGTAGAGTAACCTTAAGAAAGGTTGTTGGTCTTAGCTTTAGTGTATTGGCCATGTTGATGTCTATAGTTATGTTATGTGTGTTTTAAATTCTATGAATCGGAATGACTTTTGAGTTATATGCAACACTTGTTTGATGCTCTGTTCGTAGTTGTAAGAACAATGTGTATGTTTTACACGATTATTGTAGTATGACTTTTTAGTCACATGAGTTTGGTTTGTAGTGTGTTGAAAAATTTCAGAATGACAATCTAATGTGACTGCCTATATTGTTGTTTCACATGATTTACTAGTGCAAAACTTTCATGGAATGATGAATCACATGTCTTTGTTTCTTTGTCTCCACTCTTTCTCTATATAATATATATCACATGTCTTTGTTTCTTTGTTTCAACTCTTTCTCTATATAATACGAATCCATATTTTGATTCATACATCACAATCTCTTTCATTAACCTCAACTCTCTCTTATTTCCTTTCTACTCTCTCAACACCAAAGTGATATCAATTATCTCACAAACACCACCTATACACTCATTCTTGCTACGGCTTCATATAATCACTTTTTTACATTATTATTTTTTCCTTTTTATAAACTGCTTCCTTCCTTTTTTTTATGTCTTTCTCTTCAAACAATTTTCATTATCATTATAACTACAATAATGATGATGATTTTGACAAATATTATCAAGACCTATTTGATAATCAAGTAGAAGCGACAATAGAAGATATACCGCGGGAAAGAAAAAACGTGCATATATCGAAAGAAATCGAGAAGAAGGTCACGAACGTTTGTGGAACGATTATTTTAGTGACAATCCTACTTACCCGGAAAGGATGTTTCGAAGACGATTTCGAATGAACAAGCCATTGTTCCTACGTATTGTCAATCGTCTCTTAGCAGAAGTTGGATATTTTCTACCTAAAAAAGATGCAACATTCCGAAATGGTATTTCACCCCTTCAAAAGTGTACTGCAGCAATTCGACTTTTAGCATACGGGGGTGGAGCAGACACGGTTGACGAATATATACGTCTTGGTGAAACGACGGCTCGAAACTGTTTGGAACATTTTGTCATTGGAATTGTTGACTTGTTTGGCGATGAATACCTAAGGCGGCCTACCGAAGAGGATCTTCAAAGGCTACTTTATATAGCAGAACAACGGGGTTTTCCGGGGATGGTTGGGAGCATGGATTGTATGCATTGGGGGTGGAAAAATTGTCCAACCGCATGGAAAGGTATGTATTCTCGAGGTACCGGAAAATCAACTATTGTTTTGGAGGCGGTTGCTTCACAAGATCTTTGGATATGGCACGCGTTTTTTGGAGCACCAGGTACTTCCAACGATTTAAATGTTCTTGATCAATCACCGGTTTTTAATGACATTATACAAGGTCAAGCCCCCCAAACGAACTACTATGTCAACGTAAGGGAATATAACATGACTTACTATCTTACGGATGGTATTTACCCCGACTGGGCAACATTTATTCAATCCATCCTACTACCACAAACCCCAAAACATTCTTTGTTTGCAAAACGTCAAATGATTTGATTGACAATATTTGGACTAAATTTGGACATCTTCCAAATGATTAAAAAGGTTTATAAACTTTTTTTCATTTAATAATATGTATTGTGTTTCATTTTTATGTTTGTATTTTTTAAAGTTTATGTTTTAAATTTATATGTTTCTATCTTTTATGTTTATACTTTTTATCTTTATTGTCTTTTATTTGTTATTATTTGTTTTATAAAGTTTGTTTGTGTTTTGTTTATAAAGATTTATAAAGTTTGTTATGTTTTGTTTATAATTATATGTTTCTATCTTTATTGTTCTAATTTAAATGTTTCTATCTTTATTGTTCTAATTTATAAGTTTAAATAATTTTCCATTTTTAAAATTTTAAAATTTATTAATTTAATAAATATATCATTATTATATTATTATAAATGTAAGAACCTACGGGTTAAACCAATAACTACTTAATTTTGCTTGGTTCTTAAAATACACTATTACATTATTAATATACTATAATTACCCTAAGATGCATCCTCTTGCTTATGCCTTTGCTCATGCCCTAATACATAAATACAGACAACATGAAGTACCACTATACATACTCCGCCTTTTAGAAGTTGGTGCTTCGCTGCACGTGGAGAAAAAATTCACTTGATCCTGTAAATTATACATGTTAGAGAAAATAACGTGTAATAAATATTTAATTATAAATGAATGAGGAAGATGTCAGATACACTACAATTAGATATAAACAGAGCTCAAACACATATTCAAATGGATAACGCTTGACCTTGTCCGTATTTCTTTTGAAAGAAGAATCAGCAGAGTGTTACTCACTTTTTGTTTTACGCTTTTTGAATATTCGTGAAAGAACAAAAACAAAATCGAAAGAATAACACTTACACCCACTTTAGTGGAGATTGTTAGCGCTTACACCTACTTCCTACTTGTGCTATACTTTTGTTCACTTTTTACAAAGAAAGTGAAAGTTGTTATGACGTTTTTACCCCCAACTTACTTATGTAGTGTAGATAGCTGGATGAGAAGATGATGAGGAGATCCAGTGGCTGAAATTTAATTCTCTCTTCCTCTCTTTCTTTCTCTCCCCTAGCCTTAGTCCTCTTATTTCTTTTTCTTTTTTTGTTATTGTTATTTTGGGTGGTTATTATTAAAAATTTATATATTTATTTATATATAATAAGTTATGATTTTATTTTCTTTACATTTTAAGATGCATATTAATATATTTTAGATGATTTATTATCTTATATACTATCCATCTGTAGTTGAACATTTATTCATTGATAAGTGGATGCTCAATTTCAATATTGTTAATAGATATTTACTTGTGCTAAGTCATATTGAAAACCTATTTCATCAAATAAATTGTGGTTTGTAAATAATATATAAACTAATCTGAAACAAAAAATTATTCATGGTCAATAAGTTTTATACATGTTCAAAACAATCTTATCTATTATACGGTATCCACAAACATTTAAACTAAAACGACAAAATTTTGTGAATACAATAATTTGATCATCAACATCAATAATGAAATTAATTTGTCTTCTTCCACTACATACTCTAGTTTCTTACAATATGAAGTTCATTACTCTTACTAACTCAATAGTTTCCTATGGATACCCGAGCCATCTGGTTAAAAGTAAACAGACCAATTGCATAGCAAAACCTTGAGTTTAATGGATTTTTCTTTTTCTTTCATTGTTCATTAGTCATCATCCACAAAATCACGTTCACATGGATAGCCGAGTCATCTGGTTAACAGTAAACAAAGCAATTGCATTGCAAAACCTTAGTTATTTGTTTGTTAGGTTCAATTGCATTTACTTTTGAGATATAGAGCTGACCATGAATCAGACCCTTTGTTCGTAGGAGATTCTGCTATGGTATTATACTATATTTTAGCTCAATTTGGTTTGGTACAAATGATAACCATATGTACAAGGTTACATGGATATCTAATTAACTACTCATGAAATTTGGAAAAATTTATGGAAACATTTGCAGAGTTTGATGATACGTTTCAACGTCGTTTCAACAATGGCAATTATAGTTTGCTGATACGTTTAGAGATTTGAACAACTAAATAAAACGACGATTGGGTACGGCGGCAGCTACAACCGATCTAGAAAACATAAATAAGAGACAATAGATATATGATTCCCGTGAGGTAAAGAGGAGGATTTGGTTTTGCTAGAGTTTGAGCAGGCGGATGAGGTAGGTTTACGTGGCAGAAAAGAGGATTTGGTTGGCTAGGTTCTAACGGTGGCAGAAAAACGGTTTACAAGGTGGATCTAATAAAATCTTCGCTGGTGGAGGAAGAAGAATTGGTTGGGTAGGATTTTCTCAGATCCTCACTGGTGGAGGAGGGAGACTTAGTTGGGTAGGATTTTCTCAGTTTTGAAGAGGAATTAGGGATTCAAGAGTTAAAGTTTGGGAAAAATGGAATTAGTTTTTTTATTTCTTTTTACTTTTACTGAAAATTGGTTTTAGAATAATGAAAGGAAGGAAAAGAGTTGGAGATAGTAAAGGAGAGAATAGTCATTTCCTTAACAAAAAGTATAGAGGTAGTAGAAAGTGGGTGTGATGGTGAATACTTTATAGTAAAGTAGGTGTATATGCTAATATCTCAATCAAAAATCTACTTGCGCCCACTTAAGACTCATAAAATTGAATGATACATTTTTCAACATTTATATACCATTTTGGCATTTGTCGTCCTTTTCGCTCGTTTCTTGGTTGTGTGCGGTTTTCCATATTTTTCTTTCGTTTTCCTACAACCTAACAGAATAGCATCTACACAGTGAGAAACAAAATCTATAATACAAACCTATTTTTAAATCACTAATGCATACCTCTATTTTTTCATTAACCTCTTTGTCTATGTTTGTTTCTCCCTCTTCATCTATGTTTGTTTCTCCCTCTTCATCTTTGTTTATCAAATCTTAATTTAATCTAGGTTTGGGTTGGAATTCAATTAGATGACAAGACCAACCCAATGATTACTCTCCCAACACATGGGGTAGTAGATGGTGTCCACATCTTCACCCCAAGCTTTGTTTCAGTTATCTGCAAGCAAAAACACATGCAGGAATCTATGTCACATGAATGACGATTGTGAATACTGGTAATAGAATTCAAAATATTCATCAGCAAGTAGGGAGGGGAACCAATGATCAATCACGGAGATGCGTTTCTTGGTGTCTGAATAAGAGTAACAATACCGTCACAACTATCGACTGTAAATACAGTAGTTAAATCGTCATATTTCGTGACTATCACAACGTCTCAATTATGTCACTCATTACACAAAACTATAGTCACTAAACCATCACAAGTGATGACTAAAATTAGTTGCTTAATCGTCACAATTACCGTCTAAAAATATTGTCTCAAACTGTCATATATCGTAGCTATTATAACGTCACAATTATGTCACTTATTACCACAAAACTATAGTCACTATATTGACACGATCAAAGACTAGTAAACAGTTGTTTATTCGTCACATATATTTACTAAAACACATTGTCTACAAAATCATATTTTCAACAGATTTTTGTTTAACTTATAAATATTTAAATAATTAGTTAAAGAAAAGAAATTTAAAAATACATTACAAAAGCAACAAACGTGAAATGGTCTAAACATACACACAAGCAAATCAACACACTAAAGCAAATAAACTAAAGCAATAAAAAGAAGCAAATCAACACACTGAAGCTAATAAACTCAGCAATAAACAGAACAAAGTAGCTGAGCATAAACAAACAAAGTAAAACCAAACTCTCTAGCAAGACAAAAAGAACCAACACCCATGGAAGCTTGTGGAGAACTAGAAGTTCCTACACCTGGAGGAGATGTAGATGCTGCATATATCCCATTGTGAGCTGTAGAAGATCAAATCAGTTGCTCCAAAGCATCAAGTCGATTATGAACAAGTACATTACCTTCACGACTCTTTCGCAATTCAGTTTCCAGTTCATGAACCCGAAGTGTTAACGTTCCCACTTCTTCAGTAGATTGAGGGGACACCACAACCAACTAAATACATAGAAACCCCACTTTGGAGTTATCCAAGTCCAAATACACGACCTTGTTTCGAAATTCCAGAAATCAACAAAAGAACACAAATTCATGAACTATGACACATTTCAAAGCGAAGTAAGGTAACATGAAATCATTCGCACACAAAACTCTTTCAAAGCTCCAAGATAACAGAAAAGATTCAAGTGAAAGGATAATATATTATGTAAATAGATACCTTAACATAGATGTCATTTTTCTTCCTCCATGGTAAGAGAATCTATCGTCAAAGCCTCTCCATAGGAGGATTCCATTTGTGCCAAGCGTTCAAGACAATGTTCATCATACTTTTCAGCAATTAGTCGAGCTCTCTCATCAACATATGTTCCATCGGATTTTTGGTGTGTTTTTCTCATCACAGCAATGAAGGAACAATCTTCATTATTTGCTTCCTACAAACAAAACAAAAAAGTAAGTAAATATTTTTATCACACTTACAGAAAAATGTTAGCAAACATATAGAAATATTAACGTTACCAAAACGTCTTTCACTTAAGCATAAGAACGCGATCCTGCTCTGTGATAATGTGGACCTAAACCATCACAACTAAATAGTCGTGACAAACGAGCTTTTTCGCTTTTTCCTTTGGCTATTGGAGTCTTCCAATAATCAACCATTACTTTCCAATGTTCATAAAGAATCCACTCAGGCTGTTCTCCTTTGGATTTTGCAAGACTAACCATTCCTTTGAGATGAGTAGCAGCAAGTGCTTCAAAGTTTATTTTAACTCGATGCTCGATCGAGGCGTCCCACTCAAACCTTGTCTAGAATATATATATATATATTTGTTGTGAGAAATGTATTATGTGAAATTTTCAAAATAAAATAGTTCATATATAACTAAAACAAACCTTAAACGTTGAAATGCATGCATTGCTATAAAACGACGACACTTTTTTCCAGCTTTACCAAGGTCCTTGGAAATTTCCTTCTATGATTTTCCTAACACAAGTTGAGACTTTCGTGTTGTTTTTAAACCTGTTGCAGACGTATTTAAATTATTCAAACGTTATTTTGTTACACTGAATAGTGTATAATTCAAAAAGGAAGAACAATACCATTTAGCTCCATTTCTTCGAGCCGGATCAAGAACTCTAACATCACGTTGCACAGGTAAAACTTATTCCCTCTGCTCAATTGGTTCAACGTTTGCAGCTTGGGGAGGCAAAGGTCTTTGAAAACCAGCAGCTTGAGAACTCGATGGTTGTCCATACGAATGACCGCCGATCACGATTGATGGACGCATCTGTAATTAACAAAGAGAAATAATATAAGAAAATTAGTCATAAGATAAATTAATTCTTATATAGAGATATAAGAACATAGTACAGATGTTGCAACACATGTTGCCTATATAGATTAATGCCAAATATGTTCAAACTTCAAAGCTATAACTCGTAGTACTTGGTCTTCTTCTCCTAATACATACACATACATAAGTATCATACAAAAATATTAAATTGAGCAAGACTTGTTGAAAAGAAATAAAAAATAGAACAAAAGTTTGAAAGCTTGGTGTACGTGATCTGAAAAAAAATGAACGATAAACCACTTTCTTAAACACTCTTGTACTTTACAATTAGTTATACAGAAATCTAAACAAAACTCTAGCGTATCAATATCAAAAAAATTCAAACCTTGAAATCAAAGAGCTTAGGGAAGACAACTACAACAAGATCCAGAAGAGAGGAATTGCAAGGGAGGAGGCTAAAATCAAAGGACCCAAAGAGAGAGGGCTCCAATCTAAGTTTTCGATTGAGAGACTAGTCAGTTTCTTACGGTAAAACATGGATGAAGATTGCTACTGCGTTTATATTATAAGTGAAAGTTGTTTTAAGTATCTTAATTTAGTCACAACCCAAAAAAATAATGTTTTTACCGGGTTTTGTTGCCGCTTAAGAGCATCCTTATTGCAGGGATTTAAGGTATATCTTAGGTAATTAATCATTTAATTAAAATGCAAAAACATGTTTAATTACCAAGATATGTATCTTGGAGAAGATATAAAAGAAAGGGTAAGATACGGGTACGTGTCAATTGTCTATTGGCTGGGGGAAGAAATATAAAAAAAACCAATAATTCATTTATTTCATCTCTCTCTCTCTCTCTCTCTCTCTCTCTCTCTCTCTCTCTCTCTCTCTCTCTCTCTCTCTCTCTCTCTCTCTCTCTCTCTCTCTCTCTCTCTCTCTCTCTCTCGACAAAAGACGAAAATACAATCCGTCGCCAATTATGTCGAATCTGACGTATATCCGGTGGGTATCCTCCTGGCGACCGTCGTTTCACTATTAGCTGATCATCCTCATCTCCTCAGGCTGTCCACGGCGTCTGCAGGTGACAAAATCGAGAAAGCCATGATTTGCGAAATGGGAGGAGCATAGGGGATGTCACTTCTTCTATTCGAAATCGGGTATATGACATCAAAATCAGAATCATTGCGAGGACTAATAAGTAGTTGAAGGTATGTTATTGTATCTAATCGAGTTAACTAGGAATATAGAAATTAGGGTTCGTCGGATTTGCGAATTTAGGGTTTCGAAAATTGGGGAAAACCTTTTAATTCGTTGTTAAGTGTTTAACTAGGGCAATTAGAGGAATTTTTTGAGTGTGTGGCTGATTGTAAAGCATGAATGTTGAAAGAAATAAGTTATGGTTCGTGGGATTTGAGAAATTTAGGTTTCGACATTTGTGGAAATTTGTTTATTGGATGTGAAGTCTATAATTAAGGGAACTGTAAGCATATTTGAGTGTCTGGTTCATTCTCAGTCATGATTTGTGATGGGAACTAGTCTTGTTCTCAGTTATGAGTGTCTGGTTCATTCTCAGTGAGGATTGGTCGATTCTTTACATTAATATTATGTTGGATGCTACATTGTATTCATGAATTTGTTGTTGTTTGCATGACAGTTAGGTTTTAAGACATCTTTATGTTTGAAATGTGTATTGATTTGGTTAATTTTGATCTTGAATTTCAATGTTTCTTTTGTGTTTTATGTATGAGGTTTGTCTTCCCGGAGAGTGATGAGTGGAGATATTGATAGAGAAGTGAGAAGAGGAGTATCCAATCGATATGGAGAAAAGTAAATCCAATTTCATTTTGAATTTTAATTATTGTTGTCTAGTTGTGTGAAGTAATATTGTGAAGCTGTTATTATTAGTGTTAATATTAGGTGAACCTTTTGTTGAGTTTAGAGAAAAGGCAAAAAACAGTTGAGTGTCATTGTCAAATACTTGAAACTCGTTTGTGTTCAATGCTTGTATGTTGTTCATTAGGTCTAGGTTTGAGTGTCTGGTTCATTCTCAGTCATGATTGGTGATTGCAACTACTCTTGTTTGGTGATGGGAACTACTCTTGTTCTAGTTCATTCTCAATTATGAGTGTCTGGTTCATTCTCAGTCATGAGTGGTCGATTGTTTACATTAATATTCTGTTGGATGCCACATTGTATCCATGAATTTGTTGCTGTTTGCATGACAATTAGGTTTTTTTGGCATGTTTATGTTTGAAATGTTAATTGATTTGGTTGATTTTTATCTTGAATTTCAATGTTTCTTCTCTGTTTTATGTGTGAGGTTGGTGATCATTGGACATTAGAAATCAAGCGCGGAGATATTATCAGAGAAGTGAGAAGAGGAGTATCAACAATCGATATTGAGGTAAGTAAATCCAATTTGATTTTGAATTTTCTTTATTGTTAAGTGTTCTGTGAAGTATTAATTAGTGTAGCTGTTATTATTAGTGATAATACTAGTTGAGTTGAGTGTAATGGCAAAAAAAAAAAAGTTGAGTGTTATTGTCTTGACTTGACACTGTAACTTGTGTTCAATGCTTGTATGTTGTTCATTAGGTCTAGAGTTAAGTTTGCCATTAAATACTAACCACATATGTACTTCAAAATCAGTCTTAACCTAACTCTATATGAAAACAACTTGAACTTTCATTCTCTTTGCCTAAAATCGATTCTCTTTCACATTCTCAAAGCATCACTTTCATTGTCTTTGATTCTCTTCTGTAAATGAATCCTTTTGGTAACTCTTCTGGCTTCATGGAGCTATTAACCTGTCAAAATAAATCCCCTACCCTTCAGCCCAGTAGCTTTACTAATGCTTCACCAAGTATTAGACTTGGTGAAACTCAAGTACCCTTTTTCCAAACCCAATGATCTGAAGCTCCTACTGAAAATGAGAGCCCCACTGTTAAAGGCACAGCAGGGAAGAGGTTGGCTTGGACTTCTGAAAAAGATTTGGTGCTGATCTCGGCCTGGTTAAATACATCCAAGGATGTCATTGTTGGGAATGAGCAAAGGGGAGATGTATTTTGGAACATGATTGCAGCATATTATGCTGCATGTCCAAATGTTTATTCTCTGAAAAAGAGAGAGCAAGGCCACATTAAACAAATATGGGCTAAGATCAATGAGACAATCTCTAAGTTTGCTGGAGTTTATTCAGCTCCAACATGTCAGATGTCTTCTGGTATGAATGATGATGATCTAATTAAGGTTGCTCATCAGACTTATGAGGGTGATCAGAAGAAGAACTTCACAATGGAGCATGCATGGAGAGCCTTAGGACGTGAGCAAAAGTGGTGCTCTTTACAAACTGCTAAAGTGACTGAGATCAGTAAGAGAAGAAAGGGTGAATCCTTCTCTGTCTATTCATCATAAGCTTTCCAAGGCTCAATAGATCTTGAAGCTTCCCAATGCCCTATAGATTCTAAAGCTTCTCAACAGAGACCACCTGGTGTGAAGACTGCAAAGGGCAAAGGGAAACGAACTGCCAACAGTTCACCAAGTGTTGAAGGAGGAGGGCAGTCTGTGGATAGGGTGAAGACCTTGTGGGAGATCAAACAAGCAGATTTTGCTTTGAAACAGCAAGAATTGACTTTGAATGACACTCTTAGTAACAAGAAATTGCTTGACACACTGCTGGCCAAATTTGATCCTCTAACTGAGATTGGTAGATTCTCAGACAACTAACTATTTGTGTTTGCTTGTGTTGTAGATTCACGGATTCACTTCTCAACTTGCGAGGATAGCCACAACATTTCTCTTGATTCGGACAGTACAAAACACCACAAGACTTGTGTTGCAGATTCACGGATTCACTACACAACAAATTAGGATTTTGATAGCTTTGCTATATAAATAATCATGTACTCTATGTTTTAGTCATCTCTATGTTTTAGTCATTCTGATTTCTCATTTCTTCTTCTTCTATCTCAAATCTCAAAGTAATATTCTTCTTATTTCTCAAAGGCATATTCATTTGTAATATGGAAATGCTTCTCTTTTCTTCTTAAAAACGCCAAACCAATACCAAATCCAAGTATCAATAAAATTTTCATATTTTGTTTCACTTCTACAAATCCAAACCTTTTCTTGTACCAATCCAAACCATTTTGCCTTACAAAATCTAAACCATCATTTTCATATTTTGTTTCACTTCTATTTATCCAAACATTTTCTTGTACCAATCCAAACCTTTTTGTCGTATAAATCCTAAACCATCATTTTCATATTTTCTTTTCACACCAATGTTACATTCTCCAAAAAAAATATATGGGACTTCATGAGACTATTGTGTACAGTGATCATATCCATCATAGTGTTGATCTCCTACTTGACTTTTCGTCTTGATGTGTGGCTCAAAATAATAAGAACCAAACGTAGAAATTTCTTCATTAATTTATTGTTTAACAATTGAGCCTTCTAGTTTTGCCTTATTTTTGACTTTATATTTCAAATGGCCCATGTATCATTCGAAAGGATACATCCATCTAAATTGTACTGGTCCTCCAAGCCAAGCTTCATATGGCAAATGAATAGGCAAATGTTCCATAACATCGAAAAAAGATGGAGGAAATATTTTCTCCACATTACATAGCACAGTACAAATGTTTTGTTGCAACATAGCAACACCATCTTCTTGTAACGTTCTTGCACTAATATCCCGGAAAATAAGCTAAGAGCATCTTTATAGGTATAACTTAGAAGATGTATCTTAAGGAATTATATGTATATTAATAATGTTAAAGAATAAGTTAAGAACCTTTGATTAAGTGGTGATTATTGTTTGAACTTCTAGTATCTTACAATTTAAATAATATAATAATGTAAATATATATATATATATATTTTAAAAATTAAATAAATTATGAATAAATGGAAAATTTATAAAAATAAACATAAAACATATTTGAAAATTAAAATATAAAGATAATATAAATCCAAATTATTAATAAAAAACAATTAAGATAAAAATGAGAAATACAAAAGATACAAACATAAACATTAAAATGACAAACATTAATAGATAGAAACATAAAAATTTAAGCACAAAACATTTTATGAAATTAATACAAAGTTTATAAAGTTTTTTGGGGGAATTTCAAAAATACCCCTTTTCATATACCTCTTTTTAAAAATACCCCATTTTCAAACTTTATCAAAAAACCCACTAAAAATATTGAAATTTATCCAAATATGTGTGTAAGCTTATAAATATATACACAAATTACCTTTATATGTGTATAAAACTTTATATACCTTTCATAAATAGCGTAAAAATAAATTATAAAAATCTTATAAAAGCCTTATAAAAAACCGTATAAACCCTTTTAAAATCCTTTTAAAAACCTTATAAAACTTATAAAAACGATTTAAACTATTTAAAACATTTTAAAATATTTGTATCGAATCTCCCAGTAATAGTTATTATATAGAAGTACCTTATAAACTATATAAAACTTTATAATTTTTTTATATTTAAAAAGGGATATTTTTAAAATGGATAGATAAAAGGGGTATTTTTAAAAAGGGTACACCAAAAGGGGTATTTCTCAAAAATTCTCAAGTTTTTTTTATCATTAGAAAGATATTCCCAGTGGGACGCAGGCCCAAAAAACATACACGGCTAAAGCCAAAAGAGGCACGCAGGCCCAACTTACAAGGCTACTAACAGCCTGAAATGGCACGCAGGCCCAAATTTACCGGATCGCCAACGATCAGAGAAATAGCCACAGGCCCATATAGTACACTTCAACGAACGAGTGGCAAGACTTAAAACACTGGTCGTCGGAGACCTGCATCAAAGCCAGGAAGTGGCAGCAGCAGTGAGATGACGGAAACCAACTTTAGAGGAAGTGACTAAACCAGGTTGCTAACAACGATTCCCTTTGTCTAACCCTAGTTTGAGCGTCGGACAAGGGAGCAAGCCGTGCTTTTATGAGCATTGTGATCTCCTTTATGATAATCGGAGGTGACTTGGATGAGGACGAGTAGAGGCGCTGGTTCCGTTCCGTCCAGATGTAATAGACAGAGGCCTGAAACAGCAGTTTTAAAATGAAATACAAATTGGAATTGGTAGTCGCAGTCCGAAGCCAAAGCAAAGAGGGCATGAACCGAGGAGGGGGATTTAGGCGAAGCCTGCGAGTGAAGATATGCCAAATCTGAGAGATGTAATCACATTAAAAAAAAATGGTCGTGAATTTCGTGATGAGCGGAGCACAACAAGCAACATCGGGGAACTTGAAGACCCCAACTGTGGAGACGATCTCTAGTGTGGAGGCGCTTCCACGCAGTTACCCAGCAAATAAATGCATGCTTAGGAATATGATTAGAAAACCAGATTGAAGCATGCCAAGGGACATGAATATCATCCGGATGAAGAGCCTGCCAAGTTAAAATAGTGGAGAATTTGTTTGATGGAGCATGATGATCAGGCTTCCAGAGATAAACATCATCATGCTGACAATCAATCAAACTCCCAACTGCAGGGAAGACACCTTTGATTAAAACCAAAATTGGGTTCCTGCCTCTAGAGGATGAAATCCACCATTGAGTTCCCCTAATATCATCTTTAACCACTGCACTTAAGGGCATCCTAACCATTTGAGGAGCATTGGAGCCAGCCATATCAATGAGAGGCCCCAAACCTGTCCAATTGTCATGCCAAAAACTGGCTGTAATACCTGAGCCAACTGCACAGACAATGAAAGGTCTTGCAATATTCCAGAGCTTACAAAGTTTTCTCCATATCCAGCTCACATGAGAAGCCGAATTCAGATCCCAGAAGTTTCTGTTTTTATCACATTAAATAGCAGTGCATGTAATTAATCAATTGTAAATATAGCCGTGCATGTAATTAATCAATTATAATAAATAAATACAAACAACATGAAATGCCACTATACATTATTCGCCTTTTAGCATTTGGTGCGGTTCTACGAGTTGAGAAAAATAATCGTTTGAGACATCAAATCCCACATGCTTGAGAAAATAACCAGTAATAATTTTTTAATTATAAATGAATGAGGAAGATATCAGATACACTACAACTAGATAGAACCGGAGGTGAAACACATACTCAAATGGATAACACTTGACATTGTCCATAATTGTTTTAAAGGAAGCATCTGCAGAGTGTTGCTCACTTTTTCCCTTACGCTTTTTTGAATCTTCTTGAAAGAACAAAATCAAAATCAAAAATCTAATTGCGCCCACTTAAGATTCATAAAACTGAATGATACATGTTTCAACATTTATATACCATATTGTCATTTGTTTTCTTTTTTGCTCGTTTATTGGTTGTGTGCGGTTTTCCATATTTCTCTTCTGTTCTCCTACAACCTAACAAAATAGCATCTACACAGTGAGAAACAAAATCTGTAATAAAAACCTATTTCTAAATCACTTATGCATACCTCAATTTTTTTGATTAACCTCTTTGTCTAAGTTGTTTTCTCCTACTTCAACTTTGCTTATCAAATCCTAATTCTCTCTAATTTTTGGTTGGAATTCAGGTAGATGAAAAGACCAACCCAATGATTACTCTTCCAAAACATGGTGTAGTAGATGGTGTGCACATCTTTATCCCATTTTTCAGTTACTGTATCTCCAAACAAAAACACAGGCAGCAATCTATGCCACATGAATGACATCACCGGCCATGTAGTGGGCCGCTAGGTCCACCCGATACGCCTTGAGGCACCTAATCGAAAGGAAATACCGCTCCAATCGCACCCGCCATTCATCCGTTACAGCCGGGTCGGAGCCTCCAAAAAACAAAGACGTCTTGAACCGCTGCAGCTGCTCCAACATCCTCAGGTAGTACGGCTGCTCGACCACCGCACCTACCCCCTCGGGCTGTACATCCCCGACAACGGGCTGTACACCAGGCCCAACAGGGTGCACACCAGGCCCAACAGGAGCCTGCACCTTAGGCCTAACAGGAGCCTCTACCGGCAGTACCGCACCTGTTAACCGCTCCAAGAGCTGCGTCAGCTGATCCGCAAGTCGATCATTCCTCTCATCACCCAAGGGTCCCTCCTGATGCGACTGGGACTCGCTAACAAAGTCGACCGTAGCACTTCGGTCCACACTTGCATCGCTAGCCGAGGCTAAGAACATAAGGCTAAGAACATCACCAATTCACACAACTTACCGTGGAATCTCATTGAAGGCTTGAGAGGATGATCTAGGTCTCCATGCTCACACAATTGATTAAACACACAAATTAATTAGCATGCAATCCACATCATCATTCCTCATAATTGGAATTCACACATCACATCACAATTTACCAATTAAATTTCGTCCTAGAACCGTAAATGTTCTAATACCAAATTGAAAGAATCCATCCTTTTTTTTTAAAACATGCAGACCGGATTAATCCAACTAATTGTAGACTAGCTAAACCAGCCCTAAATCAATTCAAATCAATTAAACCACACATAACATAACCAGCAGAAGACTTAACCACAATCCATGAAAATAATTCGATTAAACCAACAAGTTCAACGAAACATTATTCTAGAAACATTAGCATCCTAAAATGTTTCTAAATTCTATTCTAACACCCTAACAAATCCTTCAATAATCTAACATATCAATGAGTGCCTAGATTATCCTCCTCTCCTCGCCATGATTCCACGGATCACACTTTACTTTTACCTGCATCAAAGAAAGAGATGCATAAGTATTTCATAAATACTTAGTGAGGCAATCATCCCACCACTGGCTATACACACAAGCACATTCAACCATTATCCAAGGAAAAGAACCAAACAACCAATAAAAGATAAACAAGAATCGCTTCTAACTATCGGTGTCGATCGACACCCAGCACTGGTGTCGATCAACACTCGATGTCGACCCTCGCGGTCGAAACTGGGCTCGACACTCCACTTGCGAGTCATAGCTATCCTCGCGGGACAAAACATTGGTGTCGAGCGACACCCACCACTAGTGTCGATCGACACCGACGCTCTGCAGTCGGTCCAACTAACGTTTCTCGCTGGATCTCCTCTCCAAATCACCATCATGGTATGAGCGAGTCTCCAAGGGATTACACAGGCATCAATCATCATATAAACATCCAAACAAGCTAAGGAATCAATCCAACAATCATCAAAACACCCAAAACAATGAACAAACACGCTTAGATAAGCCTTGATCATGCACTCACCTCTTAACAAGAAAGAACAGCAACGAAACAGGAACAAGCAAGAGTGAAACAACCTCCACAGAAACCAAACACCACAGATCTAACCTCCTCTAACCTTGAACCACCAAGAACAAGCCTCAAACTCACAAAACACTCACTCAAAGGCACCAAAAGATCAACTCACATTCTCCGCTCTTTTTTAACTTCTAAAAGCGGCTAACAAAGAGCTAAACATGACCTTCTTCTCTTTTAAAAGCGACCTATGGTTAAACCCTAACCAACCTCAATCAAAACGCAATTAAAATCGAACCAACCAATCCGAAAAATTACTGGTGTCGAGCGACACCCCTTAGTGGTGTCGATCAACACCACCCAAAACGGAACACGGGCGTTACAATGTAATTAATCAATTGTAATACATAAATCCAGACAACATGAAGTGCCACTATATATTCTTCGCCTTTTAGCAGTTGGTGCGGTTCTGCGAGTTAAGAAAAAAATTCGTTTGATTTATCAAATCCCATATGCTAGAGAAAATAACCTGTAATAATTATTTAATTATAAATGACTGAGGAAGATATCAGATACACTAAAACTAGATGGAACCGGAGGTTAAACACATTCAAATTGATAACACTTGACATTGTACATAATTCTTTTGAAGGAAGAATCAGCAGAGTGTTGCTCACTTTTTCGCTTACGCTTTTTTGAATCTTCCTGAAAGAACAAAATCAAAATCGAAAATCTAATTGCGCCCACTTAAGATTCATAAAACTGAATGATACATGTTTCAACATTTATATACCATATTGTCATTTGTTGTCTTTTATTGCTCGTTTATTGGTTGTGTGCGGTTTTCCATCTTTGTCTTCTGTTTTTATACAACCTAACAGAATAGTATCTACATAGTGAAAAACAAAATCTGTAGTACAAACCTATTTTTAAATCACTAATGCATACCTCTATTTTTTTCATTAACCTCTTTGTCTAAGTTAATTTTCTCCTTCTTTATCTTTTGTTATTGCCTTAAATATACCTTCCATTCGCACATAACAACGAATAAATGGAGGATCGTGCTGGGGCATATCTGAAACAAGAGGCTTTTCTTGAATTGTCTTCACAACATTATCCTGCATCGTAGAACAGAAGTGGGTTCTACTGTATTTAGACTACAAAATGGAAAGTGTATAGCAAGAGGAAACTACTCAAAATTAAAACAACTATACCTTTTTTTTTTTATGTTCCACCTCCTTTTCTCCGTGTTTATTTACTTTTAAATAATCTTCTGTTATTCCTCATCTTCTTCAGCTTATAAAAACAAAATATCATAAGAAACATTATATCAGCTGGAATAATATAATAATATGTGAACAACACTTGTAATTTCTTCTTTAAATCTTTCTAAAAGAAACAAGAAAAAATCAATGGGTCTTGTATTGAGCCCAGTTTTTTACTATATCGTCAATGTTTTATATCAATTTGTCTTGTCTTAAAATAGTTTGTGCATTATGCTGGAAACGCTAAAGTTTTTCCATATTTTCAGAAGATATAACTAAGTTGGTGTATTTTTCGGAAATGTTTCCACAAAAATTGGTTTTTGTTATAAATAAAGAAGGGATAGAGGGAATTGTTGTATTGTATTATTGTGTTGTCTAATATTGGAATGTTGAATCTTTATAAGTTATTATTCTTTTGGATAAGCTATGCTAGTTGGATTTTTCCTAAACATGATTATTTTGACTGAATATAATTGATTACTAATGTGTAGAAAAAAACAGAATTCGAATTTGAGATATATTAACATATATAGTTCGAATAGAGTTTGGACCCAGATGGATACCCAAGACCATCGTTTATGCATTGGAGATGCATTTCACACTTTCCTACGCATTATGGTCGAATTCCAGAGAATTGTTCTCATCCTCACTACCTTCAGATGAGATCTCCACTTCATTCTTCTTCAATTCCAAACAAAGTTCGTTAATTGGGTAGTTAGTTGATTGATGACTTTATCTTTCTCATGGATTTCATCTCAAGCTCGAATCAATGCTTCTGTTGGCCATCCATCCACCACTCCTTCATCGAACCACTCAAAATAGTCACAGTGAGGGAAAAACGATGAACATTGGTTGTCACTTGGTCATCACTCGCCACTCGATACTGAAAATAATATTTGAAGAAAAGATCGAAAAAAGAAGGAGAGAAGATATCATTTGATATCCAATACCAATTGGGCCCAAATAAAATGGATTATTAGGATAATCGAACTCGGGTGTTCTTTTTTTTTTTTTTTAGCTGAATTGATTATTGGTACCCAATAGAGGTATAAAACCTGTTAGAGTATTTTAGAGTTTTGGTATTTCGGGTATCCAAAACTTCATGAAAAATATTTCGGGTTTGGCTCGTGTTCGGTTTAGGTTTTTTGGATATGTAGCATCCGTTCGGGTTTGGGTTCAGTTCCACTTTTTCGGTTTAGATTCAGTTCGGTATTTTGGTAAATCGTGAAAATGACTAGACCCTAAACCAATTTAAGCCAATTATTTTAGTAAAAGATAGAAAATTAGTAGGGTTTAGTCATTTCCCCGATTTGATTTTCGTACGCAATCAGTCAAACCAATTCAAATCAATAAATTAGACCAAAAACAAAATCAACTCATAAAATGATTTAGTGTTGGGTTATGGAGTTTAAGGCTAGATTCATGTTTATCCTTGCTTATTGGTTGTTTATCATGCTAGAAAACCATGATCTAGTTGTTTCTAGATCATAGGGAAGTTCATGCCCAAAAGGTGTTTGATAAAATTCCTCAAGCCAAATTTTTAAAGTTCTTTACATTCCTAGCCTTTGGAAATTGTTGATTAGAGTATTTAGAGGCTAAATAGATATGATTGAATGCTTATTGACTGCCATTTCCTTTTTTTTTTTGGACCAACTAAGATTGTATTAGAACTTAACCAAGTGGTGTCTCCAGATTCGGAGGATACAAGAGGCTACTCGGAGCCAAACAACCCGCAACATGGCCAAGTAGAAGAGGAAGGTAAAACAACAACCATAGAACAAAAATAAACATATGGGTAAGTGGGAGCTTACAAGCTCAACCAAATATGTGTACAAACATAAGCTACCGGCAAGGAAATCACCGTAAAGGTAAACCCATGCATTGTCTACCATTATCTATTCTAACATTAGTAAACGATTTCTAACAACAATTCAACACCAAAACAATAAATAAATATATAATCACCATATAACAATACCTAAGTTTAATAAATCAGACAACTTATCATACAAAGTTCTAATATATTCAAATTAACTTACTATACAAAGCAAACAAATAACAAAGTTGATGTGTATGGATTTAACCCATTTTAACACTAGTTTTATGCATCGTTTTTTTCATTTTAAGTTTCATCACTTGATCTTTTATGCATATTCCCTTTGTTTTACTTCACTCGATCGATAGTCTAGTGACATGAGTTTCCCCACTGAAATCAATTACCCATCCTTGGAACCTATTATTAATTGATTGCTTTACCTTGCGTAGTTTCTATTTCTGTAGCTCTTGCATGCTTAGCTTTATTTTATGTAATTTATGTTATGTTCATGCTTGCTTTAGTTTCATTTGCTTTATGTTTATTAGTTCTACAGTTTAGTTACTTAAACTCTCTTTTTAATTGCCTTGACTTGTTTACTTTTGTTGCAATTCCCGATTTTTTACACGTTTTCCATTTGGATCGATAAAGCCCTTTATACTGCAATTGTACTAGTTGTTGATACCAAGAATGTTAAAATCTTATTATCAATTTGGCGCCGCTACTAGTTGGAATTTTAGTTTTTATAGTTAGGATTTTAAAGTTACAAGATTAAGTTCTTTTCACTCCCATTACTAATATGTTCTTCCTCTGCTTGTCTGTTTTGCACCTCAAGTACCACTCAATCAGCCACTCGACCGGTGCACTCAATTTCTCCATCGTTTTACCTGATTAAGCTCTTAGTCGATTCAGTGCATGCACACCTAATCAAAAGGCAATCATAATCTGCTTCGATATTTGGAAAACATTCAACGTTGTCCTCAAGACTTGCGTAGACAGAGAGCTCAACTCCGAGAACAAATACCAGAAGTTGAGATGGATGCTCATCAACAACACCAAGACGCCCTACTCGCATTGGTACTGGAGATGCCTTAAACAACCATACACAGAGATCAAAGATCGTGCCTCCCTCTGTGCATAATAAAAACTTTGAGATCAAAAACAGTTTAATCTCTATGGTTCAAGGAAATAAGTTCCATGGCTTGCCATTAGAAAACCCCTTGGATCATCTGGATGAGTTTAATCAGTTGTGTGGTTTGATTAAGATCAATTGCGTAAGTGAAGATGGGTTCAAACTGAGATTATTCCTATTTTCTCTTATGGATAAAGCTCATCAGTGGAAGAAAAGCTTGACAGCCAGTTCCATTACCACTTGGGAAGAATGCAAGAAAGTATTTCTGGCCAAATTCTTCTCCTACTCACAAATTGCTCGTCTCCGTAATGAAATATCAAGTTTTGCCTAGAAGAATAACGAGTTGTAAAGCATGGGAGCGTTTCAAGGGATATCAGTCCCAATGCCCACATCATTGGTTTAGTAATGACTCCTTACTCAACACGCTTTACCGAGGACTACTAGACCCAAGTTTAGGCTCTTACTTGATACCGCAAGAAATGGTAATTTCCTCAACAAAGATGCTACCGAGGGCTGGGAACTCGTGGAAATTCTCTCCCAATCTGACGTGAATTATGCTAAGGATTATGATCGCACAAACAGAGGAACCTTAGATCAAGATGACAAGTACAAGCGGGATCTCAAATCTCTAAATGTGAAGTTGGATAAGATCCTAATGACCCAAAAACAGGTTGTCCACTTCATTTAAGAGGAAGACCAATTCCAACAACAAGATGGGGAATGTGATAATTCAATGGAGGTTAGCTACATTCAGAACCAAGGTGGCTTCCTAATGGGATTAAAAAACTACAAAATGAACCCGAACCTGTCCTATAGAAGCACTCATAACTCTGTATTTCCACATTCTTAAGCATACATATTGTGCACAGTTTGCATACTTTGAGTCATGTTTCTTAGGGATTTTAATCTATTTTCCTTCATATTGCACTTTTAGGAGATTTAGCATAGTCATTTGCATATATGTGCATTTTGGAGTTAAAACATGTACATTTGGGACGTTTTTGAGCATCAAGGAGTCTAATCTGATCGAGTGTACCAGACCTGACCAAGGAAAACACGACCGAGTGATCGGATGGGATAACAGAAGCAGACTAATGGCTAAGGCATTGGACTCGACCGAGCTTAGATGGACCCGAACGTGTCCATCATGCACCCGAGCTCACTTAGACCGACTTAGTATTTTGTCATTTTTTGCTTTAGGGTTTTAGGAACCCACTATAAATAAGGATCATTGGTTATTCACCAGAGGATCGAAGAGAATCATTAGGAGTTTTCTCTGTAGCCACAAAACTTTTCAGAAACTTGTAATCTTAATATCTCTTGATCTATTGAGTTTTTGCTGTAGCTTTTTTATACTATCTCTCTCCTTAGATCATTATCTCTTTGATTATTCAAGATTTAGAGTTTTCTAGGTTAATGCTTTTTATCATGATTTGTACATCTAAGTAGTGTTCTTAGCTTTTAGGGATGAGGTAGATCTGTGTTGAATTCTGGTTTCTAGGGGGTGTTTAGGGCTAGAATCTTGTAGATCCCTTCTGGATTAGTAGTTTAGTACTCTTGATATTTAAAACTTGACTTCCTATGCTGATAGAAGATTCTGCAGCCAAAGTAGTTATAAGGATGTTAAGGATGTCACATGCCATAGAAAATAACTCCTTAAATCAGTGTGCATTGTCCCTTCAATATTCGAAAACCTTCATTATCTTTAACGAGATCATGTCCAAAGGTGGCTCATCCAAGTAAACAAAACATAGCAAACTAGTTTCTGCAAGACGTATTAAATAGTGCAACAACCCAGACCAAAACATAACTTACCAAACTAGTTTGAGAATCGTTAATGACCAAAGTAGACCAAAACATGAAAAATTGCTTTTACATACCTTCATTTAAGGTGTATGTTAAATTCATACATGATGTATAGTACTAAGCAAAATTATTCCCCCACTTAACAAAAACTTAAATTCACTTTGTAAACTTACGTTTTTTGTGCTAAACCATACACAATATGTAATCAGAAATGAAGAGATGTTGACAATCCTCTCTGATTGCACATATCGCATGGCGACAAGGAATGCCTATTAAATCTCACTTCCTACATGCACACTTCTGCTTAGATAATGTCACACTAAATCTACTACCAAACTCCATAATCTCATATTTTCCACTAGTTCTTGAAAGGGAGTGAATATTTTGAGCCTCATCACATGATTTATCAACCTCCACCATACTCAAGAACAACAAAATCAGCAGGAATCAAGCATTCTCCGATTTTAAAAAGAACATCTCTTAAGAGGCCATCGGGAATGCGGATTGAACACTCAGCTAAAACAAGAGTGATCTTGGCAGGTGTGAAATCGTTCATACTAACTCTGATAGCAATTGATCGAGGCATCAAATTGATGCTGGAACCAAGTTCACACAAAGATGTTGGGAATCTCCTATTAAAGAAAGAGCAATTAAGTACGAAACTACTAGGATCCGAGAGCTTATTTGTAATCCTTTTATGATGAACAGCGCTGACTACTATGGAGACCATCATAACCCCTTCCCCTCTACACAAATCCTTAGTCACCATCTTTTTTACATTCCACTGGAACAAAGTTGAAGTCTGCACACTATCAACAAAAGGCATGTCAATTTTAAGCGAGTCTAATATCTTTTTGTATCTTTCGTCCTCTTGCTCTTGTTTTGACTTCTTAGACTTATTAGGAAAAGAGACTATAGGTTTGTAGACTCTGGTCTCAATAGTGGTAGGCGGTGAAGCTTAAGCTAGTTTTTTCTAAGACAGGTGTCGATTGACACTGGTGTGGTGTCGGTTGACACTTGTCTGTAGTGTTGAGTCATGTGTGTCGAGCTGGGTTGACATCTCTCCGTTAGAAACTGCTGGTGTCTAGCGACACTCAGTGTTGGTGTTGATCGACATCGGATGCAGATCAGCAAGATCTTCATCATCTATCTGATCAAGCTCAATGACAACTTCAATTGTCAAACATAGTTTCAGCACTGATTTGAGCTGGTTTCCACTCCTTGAAGTGACAGCATTGCAAGGATGCTTAGGATTTGGATCAGTCTCTCTAGGTAGAAATCTTTGTTGTTTATTCTTGTTAGTCTAAACAAAACGATGATCTAAATCTTTGTATGAGTCTTCAAGGCTGCTATCTTAACATTTAAATCTATTGTCATCTTCTTCTGGCCCTCTAGAATCTTTTTTATCAAAGACTTCATCTCGGTGTCTATAGATTTTGGTAGAGTTTTCTAGTAAGACGAGTTCCCGTAGCTCCTTATGAAACTGCTGGTGTAATACCCCTGGTGGTGACCTAGTATACGGACGAACGGTCGCGGTCGTAAGAATGCGACCGAGGCTTAGAAAATTTTTTCGGAAAGAAAAATTTAATTGAGCCATCGATAAAAAAAGGTCTGATATGAAGAATGGATCGAAGAAAAATGGTTGAATTGATTTTATATCAAACCATAAGTGAGTTCAGTCGTTATCGGCTACCATCGAGTGTCGAGCAGTCTAGACCGGCTATTAGTGGCAACAGACAATATGGCTATCGAGAGAATTGGTGTTAGTGTGATCTAAGGACAAGGTCAAACAATTACTAAGAGGATTATTATGGACAATTTGGTCGAGGGAAAGATCAATTTTGTCGACGAGAAAACTAGTTTTATCGAGGAGAAAACTAGTTTTATTGAGAAGGATCAGTTTTAGGCCGAGACAAGCAAGCGGTAATCGAATGGGATCGGATATGAAGATAACAAGGTTATATAGAGTGGTTAAATGACTTGGTCTTTTATTTGAAGAATTTTAGAGTTTTTGTGAAGTTTGATCGAATAAAGATCATTGTGAGCATTCTGTAATTGGAAGAGCTTTCGGTACAGACGTATACCTCGAGCGAGTACAACGAATGGTGGATGGACCAAGTAAGGTGCTTGGAAGCTGCTATGTCGTGAAGGTGCTTACGCTTATCACATTGTGTTACACGACCAGATGAGAAAGGCGTGGGTTATGCGTAAGTATGCGCAAGTTTAAGTATAGATAGGATAAAGATAAGATTTTGGATAGATCTTATCCCACACCTCGTGCTTGCGTTGCTTGGGCGCCAAGCTTCCTCTCACTATATAAAGCCACGAAATCCATTCATTATTTCTCCACATCAAACACAAAACCTTATCTTAGACTAGTTAGTTCGGTCGTTAAGCTTAAAGAGTCGAGTCGGGTAGAAGTTGGTCGAGTCGAGAGTCTTGGTCAGGTATCGGGTAAGTAAGTTCTGCCTTTAGTCTTTTATTCTTTTTAGAATATTTTTCTAAGTTCTTGGTTCGATCCGAAGCTTAGATCCATCGTTGGAGAAAGCTAGTCGGATCGAGGTCAATAGGTGGTCAAGGGTAGAATGTCAATATCTCGACAGTAAGGCCAAGGTGAGTACCGAAGCATGTGTAGTAGCACATGTCTAGGTTTTATTTGATGTATTAGTTTATCATTGAGGTTTCATGGTTATACATAGTCTGAATTATGCATGAAAGTTAGATCTACGTTTTTACGTAAGATCGACTCGATTGCTTGTTCTAGATCTTCCTTTCTTCCTGATTTATTTTGGTTGATCTATTGGTTGAGGTTGTAATAGTCGTTAGTATAGCCGTTATACTGTTCGTATAATCGTTATGCTATTGACCAAATCCTTAGACTATGGTATAGCTGTTATGTTGTTCGTATAACTGTTATGTTGCCGGTATAGCCGTTAGGCTGCAGGCATATTATAACACCCCGTCCTCGCTACTAGGACTTCGACCACAGAACACACAAAAATACTACCTCGCCGGAGACCAAAAATTCCGATAAACTTCCGGCGACGATTCAATTTCCACAAAACTTCTCAAAACAGACCGATTCCAGCTAACAACTTAACTAGAACAACCTACGCAGCGGATTAAAAACATCAACAGACATAACTAACTTAACTTAATCGTACCTTGGCCACTTATCGATCCAACTCGTCTGACCAATGCACACGAATCCACGAGTCTTCCCGATATTCCAATGCTCCAGCTTCCAACACAGCTTCCATAACCGCTCGGCCACCGATGCTTCAACCAACATCTCTCTCAGTACATAGTCACTCAGCCAACCATCCCCACATGACTAAGTACAAAGAGAGATGTCCGGAATCCACATCACACCGAACATACTCATAGAACACTTAACCACACAGACATCATACTGACCAAAACCTTTGATCCCTCGATCAAACAGACACACTTACACGACCCTTCTCGGCCAACAGAACATCCAGACATGATCAACTCCGATCTTTGAACCACAAACTCTCGCTAACGAATCAATGCGCGACAGCACTCTCGGTAATAACACATTATCCCGATCCGTACACAGATCCGTACTTCCATTCTTCAATCTCAATATCGGAACTGTATTCTCGATACCCATCGTTAAGACAAACGATCACCGATCGGCTCTCTCGACCGAAACTAACCGTTCGACCCATAATCTCGATCTACTTCGCTCGATCTCGGTAACCGCCGGTCGATTTCGATACAAGGACAGTATCCAGTAACCCCTAGATAGAACTTGGTAACATAGATCTTCTCTCGGCTGAACTGACTGATCTCGACAGATTCCTCTTGAGAACTCGTCTTCCCTTCATATCCTCGATACTCATCGCTATTTCTTGACGATACTCCATCTGATATCAACTACAACTGCTCGTTCTCTCGATACAACCCAGATCCTTCACCATACGTAAACTTCTATCGACCCTAGTGAAAAAGGTATTTTTGTACCCTTGGAGTTCAATTCCCCAATGCGATGTAGCATAAGAGGTATCGATCCCAATGGATGTATTGTAAGCAATCATGATATATCATAACTAATCAAGTCAAGCCAAGTAATTTAAGGTTTAGTTTAAAGAACTCTAATGCATAAAAGTAAACTAAAGAAGCAGAATTGAAAGAAATAAGTAAAAGCAGGTAATCAATCAGATAGACAAAGGGTCTTAAGGATGGGCTAATGGGGTGATGAATCCTCTTAGTATCTTTGGGATGCTTAACATGCTCAGATAGATCTAATCCTAGACAATGAACCACTTAACATAATCAATCCAATCTCTTGGCAAAGATTATCAGATCTATAGCACTTCCTAATCTTAACTTTCATTGATGAAACATACTATAAATAGGCATAAAGAACAAGCTCATTAATGTCAATCTACTCCTTAACAACCAATCTCTTGGGTAAGTAAATAGATTTCTGGCATTAGTTGATCAGACATTCCATTTGAACACTTTTTGAGTGTTGGAATGTCTAAGATCTAATCCCACATGGTTAATGCTAAGATAGCATTAAGATCTCCTAATCCATAAGGTATCTATCTAAATCTATACTTAAGCAACCCTAGAAACTAAGATTCCTCATCACCTAACCCATCCTCTAAACCCTAGAAAAACTACTCAGATCTGGAGTTCATCATGAAGAAAACAAACCCAGAAATCCTTGAATATTGCATAACTAGATAGATAATGATCTAAAGAGCAAAATATTATAAAGAAGCAACTCCAAATACTCAATAGATCAAAAGATATAAAGATTGCAAGTTTCTGAAAAAGTTTGGTGGCTACAGAGAAAAACCCTGATTAGAACTCGTTTTTGGGTTAATGACCTTAGAGCAAGGGCAACGGCGTGTTAATAGACCGTCTCCCGTATTTGCATGTTTTAATTTAAATGCATAATCACCGAAATACGAAGAAACGTCCGTCGAAACGCGACGAATTACTCCCGTCCCTCTTGCCACGTGTCACGTCGAGATTGGATGTTGGATAAGTGAAGGAAGAAATGTTTCGGGGGTCTTTTCGATTTCTTCTTTCTATTCTTCTCTGTCTGTAGCGTCTCGGTTGTGGAGAGAAGGCGAGTAGAAGGGCGATCTCCGTCGATAGCGAGCTTCCGTGGGTGGTGAGTCGAAATCGTGTTCCTCACCGGTTAGATTTCTTCCGGCGGACGAAGCCCCCAATCGGAAAGGATTTATGAAACCCTAATCGGTAAGTTTTCGATTTCCCTAAAGTTTATGTGTTCTAGGTTTTCGATCTTCTTTAAACATCGAATTGTTTTTTGGGATTTGCTTAATATAAGCATGGATTTTGAAAGGGATTTGGTTTGTATAAGCAAGGACTTTCTATGGTTAGTAGATACGAATCGATTTTGGATCTAGATCAGTGTTATTGATATCGGTTTGTTTCCAAATTTTGATTTACTTACTTACATGATGATTGTTGTTAATTGTTGTTAATTACACGACAGAGTTTGATTGTTGTTAATAGTATGAGAGAGTTTGACATATTATTCGGCTGTGATTGATCTTTCTATGGTTCCTTTAACTCACCAAGTTATAAATTTCATTGATTTGATTTATTTTGATAATTGTCCCACGATTTATAATATGTTATTGTTGTCTGTATGCATTGCATATAGGTGAGGACTGAAAAGCTTAAATAAGGAGTGGAAGAAGCAGCAATTTCAATTAACTTTCGAAGGTAATTCTTGATTCCTTTGCAGAATTTGAGATGATTGTTGTTAATTAGTTGATAAAGATGCTTTTTCTTCGAATGGTTGGTGAAATAGAGATACTTAGGATTGATTGAGTATAAGTGCATGTGTTAGTTGACTCACTGTTGAGATGCTATTCAATCTATACACCCTTGTTAGCTTTTGTAGTGGAATAAATGGCATGTCTAGTAGCTATTTTTAGGTCACTGTATGAGTAAGTTACATGTGTACTAGGTAGTTATGACTTTGGTTGATTTTGTTAGATTGGTTGGCCTTTGTTTTTGGCTGTTATTAATAGAGTGTATTCTTGAATGTTAGGATTTTTAGTTGAAATCAAATTTGTTCTGGTCCGATTATAACAATGTAAATGAGTTGATAAAGATGAAACTTTTATAAAACTGTTTGAGTTAAATTCTCATCTGTTCTGATTGGATATTTGTTGTTTAGTAGCATGTCAGTTATTGTTGATTGCTTTCATACTTAATAAACATAATAGCAACTTTCTTACACACCACCTTCTATTCTCGACCATCTTATCTCACCTGTATGTTGAAGTAGGAAACCAGCATTTATGTCCTTGTTGTTTTCCCTTCTGAAACCCTAAATTTGAATATAGCTCCATTCTTAAACCCTGTCTGTCCTTCTCGAGTCTATTATAAAACCAGCCTTTGTAACAAATCTCCACTACATTATTCAAACCAGCCTTTCTAACACTTCTGTATTCCATCCTGAAACCGGATATTTCTTTTTATTTTCCATTCTGAATCCCTTTGTTTCTATCTTTCTCTATTTCATTCTTAAAACCCTATGTTCTTATTTCATTTTTAAAACCCTTTGATATGGATTCATATAATCCTTTTCCTCACTAATCTTCTTATTTAGAACTTCTAAACAGTCAGCTTGATAACCAAAACCAACAAAACTCTAATGAGAGTTTCCCTCCAGAAGCCTACAATCTTGCATCTGAAGGACCTGCTTGGAGCTCACAACCATCAATAGGCACACCATCTGATGGCACACCTACTAGGAGCTCACAAACACCAGTTAGTGTCAAAGAGAGAAAGAAATGGAGCCTCTGTGATGATGATGTGTTGATCAGTGCGTGGCTCAATACTTCTAAAGATAACATTGTCGGGAATCAACAGAAGGGAGGAAGTTTTTGGCATAGGGTAGCCCAATATTATGCTGCTTCTCCACGTTCGACAAAGAGTGATCAAGAAGGCCTCAATGTCAACTGTAAGCAGAGGTGGCACAAAATCAACGAGTTCACAAACAAGTTTTGTTGTTCATATGCTACTGAAGAGAGGCAAAACAGTAGTGGTCATTCAGACAATGGTGTCCTCAAAGTCGCCCATGCCATTTACTATTCAGACTACAAAACCAGATTTAATTTAGAACATTGCTGGTGTCTACTAAGGTATGAACAGAAGTGGATAAATCTGAATACAATCAACTCCGGTACACCTACAGGCAGAACCAAAAGGAAACCAACTGAAGAGGGATCACAAACTGCAACCAGCATTGAAGAAGAATGTGAGGTGAGGCCTGAAGGTGTAAAAGCTGCAAAAGGAAAAAGAACTAATGCTCAAGGGAAGGCTCTTATAGAGTATAAGAGTATGTGGGAAATAAAAAAGGAAGAAATGGCTGAGACAGAGAAGCTTCAAAAGCTTGCCATACTTGACACAATTCTGGCAAAGAAGGACCCTTTAAGTTCAGCAGATGAACTTATAAAAAGTAGGATAGTTGCTCAATATTTCTGAGACAACTAGCTTCTATCTAATAAGAGTGTTACTTCCTGTTCCTCCTCCCTGTGAGTTGAGTTTGTATTGTGGCTTCACTTTGTATTCTGATTTCTGTTTGGTTTGGTATTTGAGTTTGTAGTCTGATTTCTGTTTGGTTTGGTCTTTCAGTTTTTCAGTATCTTGCTTGGTCAGTTTGTATCCATTTTATGTACTCGGATTATATAAAGTATTGCAGTTTCTGTTAATTATGCCTCAGAACATCATGTTGGTTTATTAGTTTGTTTACATTATGTAGTATGCCTCAGAACCAGGATAAGTATGCCTCAGTACATCTTCATTAGTGATCTTGATTAGTGATCTTTTATATTCTGATCACATTGCTGGTTCTTTTATATTTGCATCACATTGCTGCTTCTCTTATGCTGGTTCTTTTATAATTGCATCACATTGGAAGGTCTGTTATTATTGAATCACATTGCTGGTGTTTTTGTTGTTTGCTTCGCAGGTCTTACTTCTAATGGGACAGGATTACAGCTACAGTCAGCCAAGTGATTCAGAGCAATATGAGGAGCATGAAGACATTGAAGAGATGGAAACAGAAGCTCTGATACGCATGGATGAAGGTGAGAGTAGTATGAGCAATGCTCATGCTATTCTCATGGACGAACAAGAGACAAGATTCATCCTTGCACAGAATATTCAATACCCTCCTCAACCTGAGGTAGAGTATGGGTTCACTAAGGTCTGCTATTGTGGTGGTAGGCCTTTCCTCTCTACTTGCTACAACATGAATAATAGTGGAAGAAGGTTAGTGCTATGTCTTGATACGTTTTGTAATGACTTAAAATATGGTATTGATACTTTGTTTTGTGTACTTTCAGGTACTTCACATGTCCTAATGTAGAAGATGGGGAAATGCACATACACAAATGGTGGGATGATGCAGTCATGGAGGAGATACAAGGGCAGGACAGATTGGTTCAAGTTCTGGCTTACCAAGTCGATAGTTTGAACTCTCTAACTGACAGACAAACCGAGGAGAAGGTAATATTGTTAGAGAAGATGTTAGGACAACTTGTGAAGAAGAAGCATCGTTTTGGTTTAGTTATTGGTGTAATGACTGTTGGTTGTTGTCTGTTATTGTTGTCCATATTGGTGTTGTAATGACTTGTGGTAAGTCTTGATATCTTTTGGTACTTTAGACTTATCTTGTATTGTTGTAATGACTTGGTAAAGACTTATCTTGTATTGTTGTAATGACTTGGTATGCTCACGGGTGGCCTCAAAATATTGTCACTTTGTGACGAGTTGTAATGACTTGGTATTGTCACTTTGTCACGGATAATATATGGAATGATTGGTCACGGATTGTATTGTTGTTTTATATGGTCAGTATGGTTTGGTCACGGGTAAAGAAAGAGATATATGTCATTCTAACACTTCACGGATATGTTTAAGCACGAGAGTAAGTATGATATATATATGGAATTGTTTGGGAAAAGAAAAAATCACAACTTCATCTTCTTCTCATTTTCTTCTTATTACATTTGTTCTTCTCATTTTTCTTCTTCCCACTTATCAACTTCTTCCTTAACCTCTACCTTTTAAATCATTTCTTCTTCTCACTTATCTTCTTCTTCCTTCCATAACCTCTTCCTTACTTATCGTCTTCTTCATAATCTTCTTCAAAATGGCATCATCTTCAAATAATTTCCACTACCAACGAGATGAGGATGATCCATTTGATGCTTATTATCAAAATTTTCAAGAAAATTTTAATCTCTTGCAAGAACCAGAGAGGCCAAAAAAACGAGAGTATATTCATAGAAACCGTTAAGAAGGCCACAATAATCTTTGTAATGATTATTTTAGTGACAATCCGACATACCCGCCCAATTTATTCCGGAGACGTTTTCGAATGAACAAACCGTTTTTTATGCGTATTGTGCATCGTCTATCTACCGAAGTCCAATATTTTCAACAAACGGAGGATGCAGCCGGACGAGCTAGTCTTTCACCAATACAAAAATGTACTGCAGCAATTCGTCAATTGGCATACGGTGGTGCCTGTGACTTAGTGGACGAGTATATACGAATAGGTGCTTCAACCGCTCGAAAATGTTTACACGAGTTTACCGCTGCAATAATCCAATTGTTTGTCGACGAATATTTAAGACGTCCAACTCAAGAAGACCTACAAAGATTACTCCAACAAAATGAACAACGTGGATTTCCGGGGATGATTGGCAGCATTGACTGTATGCATTGGGGGTGGAAGAATTGTCCCACAGCTTGGAAAGGCATGTACTCTCGATCCACCGGAAAACCTATTATCGTTTTGGAGGCGGTTGCATCTTATGACCTATGGATTTGGCATGCATTTTTTGGAGCTCTAGGTACTATGAACGATCTTAATATTCTAGATCGATCTAATGTTTTTGATGACATTATAAACGGTCAAGCTCCGGAAGTCAACTTCTTTGTCAACGGAAATGAATACAATTTGGCGTACTATCTCACTGATGGGATTTATCCGAAATGGGCCACTTTCATTCAATCTATCCGACTACCACAAGGTATGAAAAATTCTCTCTTTTCAAAAAAACAATAAGCTGTGTGGAAAGACGTTGAGCGTGCATTTGGAGTATTGCAAGCTAGATTCGCTGTTATTAAAAATCCATCTTCTCTATGGGATAAAAAAAAATGGCTAATAATATGAAAGCATGCATAATACTCCATAATATGATTGTGGAAGATGAAAGATATACATACAATCTCCGTAACGCTTCTGAATTTCAACACAGAGAAGATGTCGATCAAACCTATACCGTTGGTACCGCCGGGGTGGGATCAAATATTGGCGCCACAATTACTCGTAGAACAAGAGTTCGGGATAAACAAGCCCATGAACAATTAAAAGGAGATTTGATTGAGCATATTTGGTCTAATTTTGGACATCTTCCATATAATGAAGATTGAAGATTAAGTTCCAAATTTCTATAAATTCAATAAAATGTTTTAATATTTCTCTGTTTTATGTTATAATGTGTCTTTTTATGTTTTATATTTTTCATGTTTTTGTAATTTTCAAATATTTCTTTTTATGTTATTTGGTCTACTTTTGTGTGTTATAAATTAATCTAATATTTTATAATGAGATGTAATGTATAAATTAATCTAATATGTTATAAATGTTTTGACTTATAAATTAAAATAAATTAAAAAAAAAATTGTTTATTTTTCCGTGGGACGAATAACGTAGGACACCAATGCTCGTACCGAAATATTTAGTATTTGTCCCTTACAAAAAAAAAAAAAAAATTTGGGACCAAGAATTGGGTATAACTAATGCCCATGCTCTAAGAGGTCTATTTATACTAAAGGCAGTAAGCCCTAAAACAGAAAAAGACAAATTACAAAGTCGGTTTGAGGTAAGCTCAGTCGGGTGCATGTTGGGCTTGTTCAGGTCCATCCAAGACTCGGTCGGGTCCATTGCTTAGTTGAAAATCTGGTAATTCACTCCATCCGATCGGGTCAGATAGTGGCGGGTCAGCTTCAGTCTTCAATCTGGATGTATATACCATCACTAAAACAGTGATAACTCTTCAACCGCAACTCGGATTGGCTTCCAATCACCGGCAAAGGAAAGATAACTCAATTTACAACAAGTTTTATGATGACCTCGGAAGCTAAAACCCAACTCAAGATCTTCATTCGAGTTGATCTTTGCGGGATGTATACTGCATCCGATCGGATGATTGTTGACGCGGTCGAGTTGGTTGGTCGAGTGCCTCCTTTTTTCATTCTTTATGCTTCCAATTCTCTTGTTTAGTCCCAAAAATGAAAAGAACACCTTCCTTCTCTTTTAGAGCTCCAAAACACCTAATAATGCTCGAACTTCACAAAATATGCAATGCTAATGCAAAAACAACCTAAGAGTGCAAAATGAAGGAAAAGAGACTCTAATGCATATGAAACAAGACTCAAACTATGAAAAATATGCAATAAAAGTATGCCTAAATTGGGTAAAATATGGGGTTATCACCTAGTCGATCCCAGAAACCGCATTCTCGATAAACTGCTCGTTTATCGATTAGAATCTTCGATGAATCATCATCCTCGACGATGATCACCTTTCTCTCGATGTTTCTCGACACAACTTCGCCATCGAGACCATCGACAACAGATCTTCCACAACCTTTTACCCAGAATAACCGATAATCTCTTAATCATCGATATCTCTCAACCTTTCTCGAAGAACTCTCAGCGTTTCTCCTTTTTCTCAAGACTCTCTCCCTAACAACGCCTAAGTGACGAAGAATATCGAGTAATTTCCATTTTAATCGATTCTTTCTTCAGAAACCCTAAAGTAACCGCCACTTAACTTAGATCCGCGTGTTTTCTCAATAAAATAACTGTTCCCGCCAATTTTCTCGAACATTTCACACGCATCATCTCGGACATCGATAACTGCTCAACCCACACTGTCGAATTCTCGACCAAACCTGTCGGCTTCCGACCACACTTTTCCAAAAATCACGCTCGGACCGAGTAACCGTCAGTTTTCTCCGAAAAACACGGAACACTCGATAAACTCTTCAGCTTACACAGATTTTCTCGGTACACTCTATTTCCATTGATGAATATCGATCACTATCGATAAACCTTCGATCCATAGCTTGTCCTTCGATAATCCTTCGAGCATTGATCTCAATCCTCGATCACAAGCTCGACTAGAATACTCGGACACGGATGCTACACATAGTCTTTACGTTAAGCCGTGAAGTTTCTTATGCAATTCTATGAGGTTAGGCTAAACGTTGGTATAGATAATATGATGCTTGTTTGCTCATGGTCAATAATTGGTAAATGTTGCCATGATATGCAAGCTTTATTTATTGTGTGTGGGTTATTATATTGTTTATTATTATGCATTGTTGTTTGATTGATTTTTTTTAGTTGATCTTGCTGTCGCTCGATTGACTTGTATGTTAGTATAATTATTACGAGTAGTAACG